ATAAAAACACAAAAGTTGGTCATCATTTTCAAAATAATTTCTGAAATAATTTCAGATATGGGGGGTCACTATTTTTATGTCCGTGTGCGCATGTGCTGTCGACAAAAAAATTCGTACTGTTTTCAGTGTTTCCTCTTTCATAGTCAGCACACTAGGCAATCATTACAAAGCAATAATTTCACAATTAATTGTTTTCAGGTACAGGAAAAGTAGAGAAAAAGTTAATTTACATTAATTGAAAACATCCCCAAAATATAAATGCTCCTTCCATCCAAAATGGCAGGTAGCAGACAGCTTTTCGAATATAGATATCCATGACAAAAGATAAGCATGTTATGGTTTCATCTGATCAATACTAGCTGAAAATGCACGTACTATTTGGTTAAAGAACTTAGACGTAAGGGCAAGTGTGGCAGAAAATCCAGAGTTGTCTTTCGCAAGGGAGCAGTCATTATTTTATCATTATTTTATTCCAGTAAACATCACTGAACCGCACTTTTATTGTTTAATATTGTTTAAAAACCAATGGAATTATTGCAATTCAGTGACAATTTTGCCTAATTCGATTTTACAAATGTCAGATAAAATATTTTCTATACGTTTTCTTTAGAAATTACCATTTCAGCATAACTAAGTTGTGAGGCTTTGGTTGATGATAATACACTAAGTTTATGTTCATAATTCATGAGCATAATTCGTGCAGTTACCCACTTTTAAAGATGAGTACGAAGACACATGCTGCTGCATGTGCTTTGAAAAGCAAAATGTCACGGATTAAAATGGTAACTGTAACACATTTTACTCTGATTTCAACAAAAACAAAACTAAAATTGAAACATAGTAACACATTACTGCAATCTGAGAAGAATAACGTGAACATCAACAATGTTGGAAAGTATGGTCACCATGACTACCCCAGAAATCGAACAGTTTTTAGACAATGGTTTTTCTGATTGTATGAACCACCACAGGCGACCACACCAGTATCATGTGTAGCCATCCCTCGGACTTATAACATCTGCCAGTGTCCTCCTCATACTGCCAATCAAACATTGTATTAATAGCATCTGATTCCTCTGACATTCCCAATACAGTATATGCCTCAATTCTTCACTTTGAACAGGATACGGTCCAGCTCGAACTTGGCATCTAACATGGTCCGAAGGATATTCAATGAGGTTTATACTGGGGCTGCTTGCGGGCCATAGTAATGTTTCGAAGGAATTGCTCTCTAACAAGGGCGATAACGGCACATGAATATCTGACGATTGACAAAGTTAACAAAATGTGGCCCCATGGCCGTATCAGTTATTCCTGTCGAAAACGTTGACTCTTGTGTTTCCCAGGTACTATAATGAGATCCAACTGGCAGCCATACGAACCACAGTCCCACACCATCACTGATGGGTTCAGCTGCATAGATCAGCTCCTGATGATACGACGTCTGTATAGTGACATCGGCCTTGGGCAACGTGCAGAAGAATGCGACGTTCATGAGACTTCGACGACACTTTACTTCACCGGTGGCCACGTGGCCACAAGATTATTCGTAAGTGGACTAACAGCCATGTGGTTAAAGCACCCATGATACGACAAGACATCCCTGCATCATGCAAGCCAATAGCTTGCCCTATATTCTCAAAACGTCTTCGTCTTGCCTTGTCAAGAACTGCCGTCTTTTAATCAATTCAGGAAATAGTACCGCACATACAGCAATTTTGAAATGAACACACCACTTTTCTCGGGACCATCGCATCATGAGAAAATGGGACCTGTAGGAGAAGAAGTCCCCACACACACACACACACCACCCCCTTTGAAAATGAGTAAAGGCCACATTAAGGTTTTGCGTTGGTGGAGCCAGGGGGGAATGTTCAAACATCAACACCCACCCCACCTCGTTTGTGTAATTAAATTTGTTAACAGATTTGTAAATAGCTAAATATTTTATGATTGGAAGTTTGAATTAGAAACATAGATTGTTAGTGGCTGTATCCTCGAGGGGGGTTAAAGTACTGTAAAATTATTGTCCTCCTGAGAGGGTACGTAAGTCCCAAAACATTCAAGGTAAATTTCAACTTTCCGTTTTTTAATCGTAGAATATTTGTAATTTTAATGTATGGCTAGATATGTCTTAATTGCTAACGGCTGAGGGGATGATGTAAATCCAGCTAGGGCCCATGCAGGAAGCAAATGTACTGTAAGTCCCCATGGTCCCTAGTGTGGTGATCTACCTTCAGTTGTTGGCAATCTATAGCCTGTTTTTACCTTGTATTGACATTTATAGTTCCAATATTTTAGATTTAATTGCTAGTTTTAAATGGATATCTGTGATACACTAGTAGTTTTACTGTTCTTCGTCAACAGGTTTTTTTAATGTCCTACTTTATTGATCTATAATATAATTATAAACTGTTCTCGTCACGATATGGCTGAAATACTGCCGATGTGACGATAAATATTAACTCACTCACTCACTCTAAAAGGAGAAATGTTTGTTTGTTCGTTGTAAAGCCGTACTCAGCAATATTCAAGCCGTAAAACATGCCACATGGATCACACAATCCAGTGATTCAAAGATAAGAGAACCGCATAGGCTGGCATTTAAATAAATACTGTGTTCAATTAAATATTCATGTAATGTGATTGATACAAGGATAATGTTAGCACTAATGACGGTACTGTCACAAGGCGCTTATGTCCAGTTTTGGGGTTTGGTGTGATCACGGTCCTCTGTTGTCACTGCTTTACACCTGTTTGGCGCAGACCGTTAAAAACATTGGGTTCTGTACAATGGAATTCTCTTCTACTCTACCTGCAGCACTTTGACCGGTTGTGCAAGTGTCTTGTCAAAACAAACACACGCACTTTTCTTGTTCCAGTCGCTCACGTTTATTTTATGGCGCTTTATATCCATCTGAATATTCGCATATTGAATAAGTGTACCCTCGAACTGTATACTCCATGTATTGCTATAACAGGAATGAAATCCTTACATTTAAGAAAGCTTCTGAACGCTATTTTCTAGACTTCACGTGTTGTGGTTTAGGGTTTGATAATGGAACTGGGACTCTTGTTTTGACAGCTTGCTTAATGTATTTTCATAAACATGCATTTTATTTAGTGATGCTGAACAGAAGTGTCGGTCCATTGAAATGCAGAAAGGATAACCTCGCTTCCTGATCTGAACAGCTTTGAAAAATTAAGTTATCAACAGTCTGGACTTCACGTGTGGTTCCAGTTGTTATACCATTCAAAAAGAGTTTTTTCGAGTTCCATTTACATGATATGCATCAATAGAAACTACTGATGAGAAAGGCCATGTTTGAAATATGTCTCAGCAGTGAATGGTAAGATGGGACTGACTGACTGACTGAGTTTGGTTTTACGCCACTTTTAGCAATATTCCAGCAACATCACGGCGGGGGACACCAGAAATGGGCTTCACACATTGTACCCATGTGGGGATTCGAACCCGGGTTAAGATGGGAAGCAACGTGACTGTGAACCTTCAGGGCCCGTTTCACAAAGCGATAGTAGCGCTACGACTGTCGTAAGTCTATGTTAAAGTATGGAATTACTATCACCTTAGAGCTACGACTGTTGTTAGTCTATGTTAAAGTATGGGAGTTACCATCACCTTAGAGCTACCACTGTTGTTAGTCTATGTTAAAGTATGGGAGTTACCATCACCTTAAAGCTACGACTGTTGTTAGTCTACGTTAAAGTATGGGAGTTACCATCACCTTAGAGCTACCACTGTTGTTAGTCTATGTTAAAGTATGGGAGTTACCATCACCTTAGCGCTACGACTGTTGTTAGTCTATGTTAAACTATGGTAGTTACCATCACCTAAGCGCTACGACTGTTGTTAGTCTATGTTAAAGTATGGGAGTTACCATCACCTTAGAGCTACCACTGTTGTTAGTCTATGTTAACGAATGGGAGTTACCATCACCTTAGAACTACGACTGTTGTTAGTCTATGTTAAAGTTTGGGAGTTACCATCACCTTAGAGCTACCACTGTTGTTAGTCTATGTTAACGTATGGGAGTTACCATCACCTTAGAGCTACCACTGTTCTTCGTCTATGTTAGAGTATGGCAGTTACCATTACCTTAGCTCTACGACTGTTGTTAGTCTATGTTAAAGTATGGGAGTTACCATCACCTTAGAAATACGACTGTTGTTAGTCTATGTTAAAGTATGGGAGTTACCATCACCTTAGAAATACGACTGTTGTTAGTCTATGTTAAAGTATGGGAGTTACCATCACCTTAGAACTACGACTATTGTTAGTCTATGTTAAAGTATGGTAGTTACCATCACCTTAGAGCTACGACTGTTGCTAGTGTATGTTAACGTATGGGAGTTACCATCACCTTAGAGCTACGACTGTTGTTAGTCTATGTTAAAGTATGGCAGTTACCATTACCTTAGCTCTACGACTGTTGTTATTCTATGTTAAAGTATGGGAGTTACCATCACCTTAGAGCTACCACTGTTCTTCGTCTATGTTAAAGTATGGGAGTTACCATCACCTTAGAGCTACGAATGTTGTTAGTCTATGTTAAAGTATGGCAGTTACCATTACCTTTGCTCTACGACTGTTGTTAGTCTATGTTAAAGTATTGGAGTTACCATCACCTTAGCGCTACGACTGTTCTTCGTCTATGTTAAAGTATGGGAGTTACCATCACCTTAGAGCTACGACTGTTGCTAGTCTATGCTAACGTATGGGAGTTACCATTACCTTAGAGCTACGACTGTTGTTAGTCTATGTTAAAGTATGTGAGTTACCATCACCTTAGAGCTACGACTATTGTTAGTCTATGTTAAAGTATGGGAGTTACCATCACCTTAGCGGTACGATCGCTTGGTGAAACGGGTCCCAGGCCCCTTCATGAGTGCCCTTGGTTGTATACTTCTTATGGAGCCGAGAACGATACTCCAGCGTGCATTGATTAAGTGACAAACTGACATTGGTAAAAAGGAAGCGCTTTGAGCTTGTTTTATGTTTTTACTTCAAATTTAGAGTAACTGTGATTACAAACGAAGTTTCTTTGTCCTTTCCACATGTATTAAGGACCAAGAATCAACCATCTTAGAATTGATCCTGTCCATGTGTTCCAGTTTCAGGTCAGAATTTCGTGGATGAGAAAGATCCTGGTTGTTTCTCAGGTGTGTCCACAGTGATGGTCCTGTTGGGCGTGTTGTTCTTAATGGTCGTCAGTTCAGACTTGACTTCCTTTACCATCGTGTCACTCAAAGGGAGACCTCTTGTTTCTTTCAGGAGCATAGTCAGCGCTGCGCACGCAGCTGTCGTCGTCCCGACAACCATGAACGGAACAAAGACATATCCCTTTTTCTGCAATGAGGATTACTTATACTTAATAGCGGTGACCTATTACAGTCATGCATACTCCTGAAAAGGGTATTTGGTGTAGAAAGCTGAAATCAGATTATTTCAAATATTTTTTTCTCATATCAAAAAGGTACAGTTTGACAATGTGGCGTCGAGAACAACGTGACATGTGGTCACAAACAGATCATAAGGCACACGTGACATAGCTCTTTAAAACCAATACCCTGTTTGTTCTTGTTCTAGGTTCAAGTTCCTACACGAACTCGTTCTGAAAGGTCCCACCACCTGTGTTGGTTGGGCGCGGTGGGTGAGCTGTCTACTAGTATACAGTACACAACCCTGTGCACCTAAAAGAACCCACGAATCCGTTGGTATATGACCAGATGGTGGCCACATGAATACGTGCAAACACCTAGTTGCGGGTACAGCAACGTGCAGTAAACTTGGACAAAGTACTGTGACTATGCGCCCCAGTCCACCCAGCTGTGAATAGGTACCTCGTAAGGATGGAAAAGCACCTAGTAGGTAGCAAGAGGTGTATGCTGCCCAGGGAGTTGAGATTGTATGTGTGTGTGCGTGCGTGTGTGTGCGTGCGTGCGTGCGTGTGTGTGCGTGTGTGCGTGCGTGTGCGTGCGTGCGTGTGTGCGTGCGTGCGTGCGTGCGTGCGTGTGTGTGTGTATGTATGTATGTATGTTTTTAGTTTTACTCTCGATGTGCCTCTTATGACAGGAGTTAAAAAATGTGCTACGATCATTCGGGGTATGATGACAAAAGTTGAGTATCATACATGTCTTTTCTACCTGAGTGGTGTGCATAAACAAAAGTGAAAGTATGGATAAATGACGTTACCACAGTAAATATATATGGTGCAATTATCCCTCCTATCCGAGCTGTCGTATTGGCGGCGCCGTAACCTAGGTTTCTGAAACAGACCGTATTTTATGATTATAATATCTTTTGCCGACATGAAAACATGAATCAATACATGAATCGAACTCTCAGTGCAGTCAAGATCGCCTTCTTAAAGTTCTTTGCAGGCACATAAATAAAACATGTAAAATAAAAAAGACACTTTTCCATATTTGGGCAAATATGACAAAATTGGGATGCAAAATTATTAGGATTCATTAACATAATTATATCGAACACGAGGAAATGACAACTGACGTTGATGCATAGCAATACACACTCCAGTTCCTCACTATCGATGTCACTGTCTTTGTAATACAAATCTGCAAATCGCACAGAAACAGGTGATCTCATGAGTTGGGATGCGTCTGATTTTGTTCTACGACTAAGCGCACAGTCTCGTTGAACTTTAGCAGGTGTCATCGATGTAAGCGTCATACTGATATGTTATATTGGACATGTATGCTGTACAACCATATCGGGCATGGCGGTGATATATACTGAGTCTAAAAAGAAACTTCACAAAATGTAATTTGAAAAATAATGAATAATTTTTCTCTGATGATATATGTATCCAAAATGGGATCCCTATCTTTCGACTCTAGAAAAACGTTAGCAAAACCCGCTCAAACCCATCCATTCGTCGTGCAAATAACGTTAGTGCCAAATCAGGTTTTGCACGTGCAGTCGATCACGTGATCTTCGCAGCGAAGTTTTCTTCATATGCACGTGTTTTCATTGGCCTCAAGAATTGAAAGAAACACTTTTAAACCACAGTTCTAACGGTACTTGAAATGCCACGATTGTCAAATGTGCAACGTGAACGTGCCGTTGGCATGTTGCAAGCGGGAAGATCAGTTATTGACGTCGCAAGAGCAATGGGATGCTGCCGTCGTACTGTGTATGACTTGCGAGGTCGTCTACAACAAACTGGCACCACTTCTGATCGCCCAAGGTCGGGTCGTCCACGTGTGACGTCACGAGCAGAAGACCGTCAAATCGTCCTACGTCACCTACGTGACAGATTTCTGCCGGCTACACGAACCAGGGCTGAGATGTTTAGAGGTCGACTGTCCTCACAGACCATTCGAAATCGGTTGCGGGCTGCCAATCTCCATTCTCGACGTCCATATCGTGGGCCAATACTGACGCCGTTTCATCAACGTCAACGTCTGTTGTGGGCCCAACGTCACCTCCGATTGACCCAGAGAGACTGGAATCGAGTAGTCTTTAGCGATGAATCCAGGTTTACCCTTAGATTCGCGGACGGCAGGCATAGAGTCTGGAGACGACGTTGTGAACGGTATGCCCAATGTTGTGTACAGGAAGTCGACAGATTCGGGGGCGGAAGTTGCATGGTGTGGGGTGCCTTCTCGTCATCCGTGGAAACCTCACAGCTGCTGCTTACCGCGACCAGGTGCTCACCCCTGAACTCGTTCCTGTCATGGCGGCTCATGGCCCAGGTCTACAGTTCCAGCATGATAATGCTCGGCCGCATACCGCGATGTTGACACGAAATTTCCTTAATCGAATAGAGCACGTTTGGGATGCACTTGGGAGAAGGCTTCGTGGTCTTAGGAACCAACCTCAGAATTTGCAGGAACTTGGCGCAGCCTTGCAAGAGCAATGGCGCAGAATCCCCAACCACGTGTTCACAAGCATCAGGCAGTCGATGAGGAGACCGTGTTTGGCAGTGGTGAATGCGCGGGGCGGCCATACCCGATATTGAACTGAGAAATTTCGCATTTTTATTCTTGTGACTTGACATTCTGTATACCCATGTTTTTGAACGGCGGTGTAGCCTCATGGAACTGATTATGGCACTGTCAGTGTATCGAGTACATCACACAGATCTCAGCAATGAAATAATAACAATATAACCATCTTACCATCTCTTGTTCTTTTATAGTGCCCTGAAGAAAGAATGTGAAGTTGCTTTTTTGACTCAGTATATATATCAACCTGCAAAACGCAAACGCCACAGTGTGACTGCTGCTGAGAAGCGTGATATTTGCAAATTTAAAGAAAGTAATCCTTCAGCCAGTTTGGACCATATCAGTAAGCATTTTGAGAAATCTATGGGGCATGCCATAGGAATGTCTACAATTGGGGACATCTTGAAAGTTAAAGATAAATGGTTAGGAATTTCTAAAGATCCGGCCTCTATTTCCCGTGTCAGGAATACAAAACATCAAACTTTGGAAGAAGTCCAGTACCTTTGGATTATCGATATGAATAGTAAATAGGCAGCAGTAAATGACGCGATGATTGTTGAGAAAGAGGAATTCTTTGGCACACAACTTGGCATTTCGGACTTTGCATATTCACGTGGTTGGCTGACACGTTTTAAATCGCAGTACTCTCTCTCCAAGGAAAATTACCAGGGCGAAGCAGCCAGTACTGACAAAAATGCAATCTCAAAAGGGAGAGAAGAGTTAAAATCATTGCTTAGAAAGTACGAGTCTGATGATATTTATAATTTGGGCGAAACCGGAGTGTTTTAAAGATTACGCCCCAACTACACTCTCGCTTCAAAGGCTTGCACAGGCGTCAAGTGGTCAAAAGAGCGCATTACAATTGCTCTTTGTTCAAATGTTGTAACTGGCTCATTTAAGTTTAAACCTTTTCTGATTGGTAAGGGAAGGCGTCCGAGCTGCTTCGGTTGTGACTTTGATCCTGAATGGTATGTTCACAACACCAAAGCCTGGATGACGAGTGACTTGTTCAGTGACTGGTTGAGATATCGTTTTGATAGTAGACTTTTTACCATGCCCTGACGTCATCAATTAGATGTCTCACAATGCTATGACGTCAAAACCTTGATGACGTCACAATGCTATTACATAGCTGCACTAGTCTAAAGGCAGTACCGTGTTCAGAGATATACAATTGTCATTGAAAACTAATGAAGCAAACATTTATCAGCTCGTGTTGATCTAATTGATATCAGTCGACACATGGCTGATATTCCCTCTATATCAGATTTGGTTGTACAGTACAGTATGTATATCCGTAAAGTCCGATATGTTACATTTATACAGTATATAGGCCCGTTATATTCACGCAGAATGCATATCTGATGTTATTCGCTATACATTTCTGCTACATTCATGAAGAATACATATCTGATGTTATTCTCTATACATTTCTGCTACATTCATGAAGAATACATATATGATGTTATTCTCTATAAATGCCTGCTATATTCACGCAGAATACGTACATGATGTTATTCTCTATAATGCCTGCTATATTCATGGAGAATACATATCTGATGTTATTCTCTATAAATGCCTGCTATGTTCACGCAGAATACATATCTGATGTTATTCTCTATAAATGGCTGCTTTATTCATGAAGAATATATATCTGATGTTATTCTCTATAAATGCCTGCTACTTTCATGAAGAATACATATCTGATGTTATTCTCTATAAATGCCTGCTACATTCGTGAAATTACATATCTGATGTTATTCTCTATAAATGCCTGCTATATTCATGAAGAATACATATCTGATGTTATTCTCTATAAATGTCTGCTACATTCATGAAGAATACATATCTGATGTTATTCTCTATAAATGACTGCTACATTCATGAAGAATACATATCTGATATTATTCTCTATAAGTTCCTGCTATATTCATGCAGAATACATGTCTGTTGTTGTTATTGTCTATAAATGCGTGCTATATTTATGTACAATATATGTCATTCTACCTACCTGATGACAGTGGGGTACATTTCACTCGAGAGTATCTGGATGGCTCCCCAACCGTTTCCAATTCCAAATTTGGTGACCAGAGCGAGGCCAGTGATGATTGGGCCCTGTTTATCAGCATCCACTGAAACACGCCCCATGCTATACTGAGTCAAAAAAGAAACTTCACAAAATGTAATTTGAAAAATAATGAATAATTTTTCTCTGATGATACATCTATCTATCCGAAATGGGATCCCTATCTTTTGACTCTAGAAAAACGTTAGCAAAACCCACTCAAACCCATCCATTCGTCGTGCAAATGACGTTAGTGCCAAATCAGGTTTTGCACGTGCAGTCGATCACGTGATCTTCGCAGCGAAGTTTTCTTCATATGCACGTGTTTTCATTGGCCTCAAGAATTGAAAGAAACACTTTTAAACCACAGTTCTAACGGTACTTGAAATGCCACGATTGTCAAATGTGCAACGTGAACGTGCCGTTGGCATGTTATAATAATAATCTTTATTTGCACTGAAAAGGCCACAGGCCTATAGTACATAAAGTTATGTTACATTTGAGAGGAATTGAGATCGGGTAATCATAGCATAGTAAATGAACATTGAAATATTTTGTAGAAGAACTGGATTTTTTACTACTTAACAATGAGGAGAATTTTATCACATTTGGATGGACATAGTAGTATCTTTTAATATATTTTGTTCGCAACCGGTCATAAAATGGACATATTAGGAGAAAATGTAATTCATCTTCTATTTCGTTAAAATTACAAAGTGTACATATTCTATTTTCTCTTTCTACATTCATATATCTGCCTCTTTCAATCAACAAATCATGAGAAGAGCATCTGAATCGTGCCAGTGCTATTCTAAACTTTTTTAACATTAACAAAGGATAGATATGACTCAAGAACTATGGCATTTTTAAACAATGGATAATACATGCATTTATTTGATAAGGATATCCTTTCACTCCATGTTTGAATATACATATCTTTTAATCTTGTCGTTAAGGATTGTATGAATAACGTAGGTGATTCGACATATTGTGTATTCCATGTAATTCCAAAACCAATAGAATATAAAAAGTTTTTTACATTAGTTGCCCAGTTTTTTTGTCCACCTTTATCATATAACAACATCATATTATAACACTTCTTGGGTAAGCGATTTGAAGGCATAATCAGCAGTTTTACCCAGTACTTAATAACTTTAATGCTTGTAAGAATGTGCAATGGGTACCTACCGCATTCACCATAAATCACTGCGTTAATAGTGTTAATTTTAACTCCGAGGAACTTTTTTGCATGCGTATAAATGGATTTTTTCAATTTCGTCAAATTTTGTTATTCCCCAAATTTCGGCCCCATATGATAAAATTTGACTGACCTTGGCATCAAATATTTTAAAGAATGAAGAGTAGTTAATATTACCAAGTACACTCAACTGTTTCATAATTCCAATTAATGCTTTTTTGTCCCTGTAACGCTGCATATTTTACATGCCTCGTCCATGACAGGCCACTGGTGAAATATAGTCCCAAATATTTATAAAAGCCAATACACTCCAGCTGCATACCTTTATATAACCAGTTTTCCTTTTTTGACAATTTGCCTCCATTTTTGAATACAACAAATTTCGTTTTTTCTCTATTTACAGTTAATTTCCATTTATCGCAGTAATTTTCAAGTTCATTAATTTGATTCTGTAAGCCATTAATCGTGCTTGAGAACAAAACAATGTCATCTGCAAATAGCAATAGGAAAATATGAACTATAACAGGGTGGAGTTGAATCCCGTGTACACAATTAGTTTCAATTTGTCGTGCTAACTCATTTATAAAAAAGGAAAATAGAAATGGGCTTAGTATACAGCCTTGTTTCACACCAAATTGCAAGTCGAATGTTTCTGAATAATTATGATTACTTTTAATGCAAGACTTTACATTTTCATACATATTGCATAAAAGTTTACTCATTTTACCACTGAGACCGTGGGTATTAAATAGAAGCCAAAGTTTTTTTTTCGTTGTATTGAATCGAAAGCTTTTGAAAAATCTACAAATAATGCGTAGAATTTTCCCCCTTTAGAGTTTAAATACCTTTGAATAATACTTTGCAGTATAAACATATTATCTACTGTCGTATATCCCTGTCTGAAGCCAGCTTGCGCTTCGCTGATCTTATCCATTGAGTCTCCCCAGTTTACAAGTCTTTTATTTATTATAAAGGTGAAAGTTTTACTAAATATGCTCAGTAGTGTTATGCCTCTGTAATTATTTGGATTATTTATATTACCTTGTTTATGGATAGGAACTATTATGCCAATTGCCCAACATCTGGGGAACGTACCAGTTTCTAATATCAAATTAAAAAGCAATTCTAAGTACGGGACGATAAGATCTGCTGAGTATTTAAAAAATTCAGATATCGTTTTATCAATTCCTGGTGATTTATTGCATTTCAATTGGTTAATGCTATCTAAGATTTCACCTCTAGTAATTGGGAATCAAGTATTACCGTGGTAAGCTCTGAATTCGGATCTGATGGGTTTTCATTCTCGAAATTATCACATGTTACATCGTCATTTTCATTATGTAAAGAGTTAAACAGTGTCCGAAAGTGTTCTAGCCAGTCGTTCATTTCGATGTTGTTTTGGGCTTCATGTCTAGTATTCAGGTGTTTGAGTTCATACCAAAATTGTTTTGAATCAGATATACTGTTTTCTATTACTCTCTGCTTCTCTTTATAATAATTAAGGCGTTTTTCCTTACAAATTGAGTTATATTTATTTCTTTTAGCGCAATATTGATCGTATGATTCTTTATCTTTCGATTTCCTAAACTTATTCAGAGCTCTACATCGGACAGATTTTAATCTTTCACATTCAGAGTCGAACCATTTATTAGTTGTTGTTGTGGGAGGGCTAACTGTTTTCTGCATGCAAGAGGCGGCCAGACAGAGTGCCTCGGTCATATAGCTTATACTATCATCAATATTAACGAAAGCACAGTCAATCGATTTATCTAGTAATTTTTGTACGTTTTCTGACAAAATATTTTCTCTAAACTGTTCTAATTTATCGTTATCCCAAATGAACTTAAACGACTTATTCCTACATTTGGTAGAAGTGTTGGATTGTTTTTAGTTTTAATGTAGTGGGAAGATGATCAGATTCAGTTCTCGTTTGTATGCTAAAATCTAGAATATAGTCAAACATTGTTGATGAAGAAATGATATAGTCAATAACACTGGTGCCAGTTGGACCAAGAAAAGTAAAGTCTCCAACTTCTGTGTCACTTCCACATCGGCCGTTTAGTATATGAATGTTACAAACAGAGCACATGTCAAGAAATGTTTTACCAAAGTTGTTAACGACCTTGTCGGCGGAGAAACGCTTCAAGTAAAAATAATCTATAAGAAAATCCCAGTAGGAATGATTTCTATTTTCTGTATATTCAAATAAGTCATCTTCAACAAAATCTGCTTTCGTTCCGGTTCGAGCATTAAAATCTCCGCCACACAAGATATAACAATCTGGTAGAGATGAGATAATTTCTAATATAGAGTCCTGGAATATACTAATACCATTTTTACAATTAGGGGAAAATTTATCATACCATGACGATGACTCCGGTTGTACATAGACACAGGAATATAGAATATCTTTTTCAAAACCAAACAGCGAACGGTCGAAAAGAACGAAAACAGCATTTTCTGTTACTTTAAACCACTTCAAGTATTTAAGTAAATGATTCTTTATTAAAACCACAATACCACCGGAAGATCGACCACCGCTTGATATATTTTGTGCATGTTTCATAACATTCTTATAATCAGAACAAATATCATTTAAATCTAGATTCTTTGACCATGTCTCAGTTAATCCAATTATGTCAAATGACTTAATATATTCAATAAAATCAGAGTCTGTTAGTTTCTGCGTAATACCAGAAATATTCCAAAATAATAAATTCATTTGGTTATAAGAGTCTTTAGTAGTATTTTTAACATCATCATCTTCATTATTTAGTTCACTTCGATGCGCCATAAAATGCCTATATACATGTTGGCCCTGGCCACACCCCTACTTGTCACTGTCGACACGTCTGGATGTCGACCTCAGGGGGTATTTACCCCCTGTGTCCTGGCTACCCCAGGATCTGGGTGTACGGTCAGTATTAGTCGGTGAGGGACGGTGTGAGGTCGACGTACCCGCAGATCTACTAGTGTCTTCCCAGGGAGTATGCAGCAACTTACTACCCTTGTAGTAGTATCGAGTTTCGGGGTTCTCACTGCGGAGTCGATACAGTTCTTGACGTTGATGGGAAGTAAGGTCATTGGCAATCCCCACTCCTTGATCTTTCAAGACACTTCTCATCTTAACCGAGTGCCACTTGTCTTCCCAATGACACATGCGGGCTATTATAGGTCTTGTCTTGTCGTTCCGTTTGGTGGATATCCTATGGGCTCGTTCTATGTCGCGGGGGATAAGGGGTGGGAGATCGTTGGCATGTTGCAAGCGGGAAGATCAGTTATTGACGTCGCAAGAGCAATGGGATGCTGCCGTCGTACTGTGTATGACTTGCGAGGTCGTCTACAACAAACTGGCACCACTTCTGATCGCCCAAGGTCGGGTCGTCCACGTGTGACGTCACGAGCAGAAGACCGTCAAATCGTCCTACGTCACCTACGTGACAGATTTCTGCCGGCTACACGAACCAGGGCTGAGATGTTTAGAGGTCGACTGTCCTCACAGACCATTCGAAATCGGTTGCGGGCTGCCAATCTCCATTCTCGACGTCCATATCGTGGGCCAATACTGACGCCGTTTCATCAACGTCAACGTCTGTTGTGGGCCCAACGTCACCTCCGATTGACCCAGAGAGACTGGAATCGAGTAGTCTTTAGCGATGAATCCAGGTTTACCCTTAGATTCGCGGACGGCAGGCATAGAGTCTGGAGACGACGTTGTGAACGGTATGCCCAATGTTGTGTACAGGAAGTCGACAGATTCGGGGGCGGAAGTTGCATGGTGTGGGGTGCCTTCTGGGCATCCGTGGAAACCTCACAGCTGCTGCTTACCGCGACCAGGTGCTCACCCCTGAACTCGTTCCTGTCATGGCGGCTCATGGCCCAGGTCTACAGTTCCAGCATGATAATGCTCGGCCGCATACCGCGATGTTGACACGAAATTTCCTTCAACACGCTGGAATCAACGTCATGGACTGGCCATCGAGGTCCCCTGACCTTAATCGAATAGAGCACGTTTGGGATGCACTTGGGAGAAGGCTTCGTGGTCTTAGGAACCAACCTCAGAATTTGCAGGAACTTGGCGCAGCCTTGCAAGAGCAATGGCGCAGAATCCCCAACCACGTGTTCACAAGCATCAGGCAGTCGATGAGGAGACCGTGTTTGGCAGTGGTGAATGCGCGGGGCGGCCATACCCGATATTGAACTGAGAAATTTCGCATTTTTATTCTTGTGACTTGACATTCTGTATACCCATGTTTTTGAACGGCGGTGTAGCCTCATGGAACTGATTATGGCACTATCGAGTACATCACACAGATCTCAGCAATGAAATAATAACAATTTAACCATCTTACCATCTCTTGTTCTTTTATAGTGCCCTGAAGAAAGAATGTGAAGTTGCTTTTTTGACTCAGTATATTATAGGCAGCGTTATGCGTTGTGCAACAATATTTCACATTGTGCCTGTAAAAACACTGTATCTGGGAATTCAGTAAGGGGCACTAATGTGCTATAATGTGCCTTGCGCTATATTCAGGCAGAGTTATAGAGGCTTCCATCGTGTTCTGACCCAAAGACTATCATAGAATGTTCTAGCAACTTATATGTGTGGTTATAAGGAGACTCCTGAGTCATTTTTCATTTCACATTACATTTTATGCTACCAGGCTAGGTTTTCTCGAAATGTTCGTAGCCCTACGAACTTCTTAAGTGCATTCTTAAAACATTGGCTACGGTCAATGTCAAGAATTCTTAAGAAGGCCAGCATTGTGGGTGATCACCATACCCTGCCTAGCCCTAGTTTCAAGTTGGAGCACTGCTGCTGAGAACTGTACATTGCCATCATTGTTTTTACTGCTATAATCACTTGTACTAAATTACCCCTGAATTTGTACTACCACACAATTTTGCACTGTCATAGTGATACAATTGTATTGATCTGTATTGATTTGTGAAATATAGTCAAGTTTAGAACACAATTGTTAATTATAGTAAATTTCTGTGTTGTCTGTTGGTTACATACATAGTTCCCTTACAGACTGATTTCAGGTTGACTATTTTATGTTAACTTAGAAATCAACTTGCGGAGACCAATTCACGGAAAATAGGGAGGGATTTGGAGGTTTGTGCACTTAACAATTTATCACTTTTTCACATATTCTCGAATATGACTCTGTTTCCGATTTCACCTCGTCTCACTGTCTGATATATGGAATCTGACTGTGAAAGGGGCTTCACACTCATGATGTTTTACAGTATGTACGTACCGCCATAAAAACTGAGAGGTTAAAAGAGGCAAGGATACCCTGGTATTTGTATCTTATTACAAATTGACAGAACGATGCTGGGTTTGATGTGATTATTCGACAATAACTCATTCATGCCATAGCTGGCAGTGTCCCAGCGCACAATTTAAGAGGTATGGTATTTTGACTCAGTCATTAATAAGACTTAAATGTGTTTTAGAAAGAGACAGAAAGTTTAATCATTTGGTATAAAGTGTTTTTTTCTCCTTTTATTGGAGCGTTGAAGAAAAGCGTAAAATGTAACGCACAGTTTTCATTCTGTCGATAAATATACACAGTTTCAGATCACAACAAAAACTGCATGGAGTCATTTTTCAGAGCTTAAGGTACCTTAAATGACCTCCATAGTTGGATTCAACCTTTGATCAGCAAAACAGGTGAGGGTAGTAAACCGTAAAATGTTCAAATATCCATTAAAATAGACTTAGTAATGGTATAGAAAACCAATTTCAGACAGAATCTATATGCGAGGTGATAGGGTGACAATTCGTTGTCTCAGCCACAGGTTGTTATCGGAGTGGAGCTCGAGAATATTAAGCAATAAGGTGTGTTACAGAAACTATTACACTCGCGTGTCGTGTGTTTCAAACTGATTTATGCTTTGTAAGAATTTTTGCATTACCTGCGATCTCGTTGGGGAAATAAAATAGACATTTACAAGAAGGACATATTTTCTCTTTTACAATCACACGCACTGGTTCAATGCCTTGGCTACGACTGTCGTAAGTCTATGTTACAGGGAGTACGACAGTCGTAGCGCTACGATAGCTTGTGAAACGGGGCCCTGGCCTCACAAGGAACCGAAAACCTTTATGTATAGCAACGGAAACGTTTTGGGTTGGTTTCAAATTCTTCTGTGAGTGCTCATAGAAGTTTCATCGCACCATAGCAACGACTTACGGACTGAAGAAGACAAGGACCCTTTCACCAAGGATGTGGCGTAGTTTTATATCGAGGGAACTTATAAACTCTTGAAGCAAGCATATTGAGGAAGAGTGACCTTGAATTTGCCGTCGTATCTTAAAGATTTATTTCAGATTTCTTTCGGAGTTGTTCGGCAGTTTGAGAGTATTCTCCCCTAATTGTTAGGGGTTCAGCAGGGCTCCAGATAATTTTTCAATATAACGGGAGGAGGAGTACTAGAAACACCTAAGAGTACATTTAGAGTGGTATGCTCCCATTTGTTAGACATGCCAGTTGTTAAACACCCCAATACACATAAGGTCACAGACCACTGCACACACCTATTACCTATTAGTGAAGAATGGGATAGTCCATATTCGTTACAGACATATAAAGAGAACGCAACACAATTGATTAGCACTACATATCATTTTATTGCATTTTATATGCATTTGTTTGCAAATCCATGTATATGAAATTCAGCATTCTTCAATGACTTTTATCATTTATTTCTAAACCACTGATTCAACTCAACTTAATCAAATGTCCGATGGCATCAAGGAAGTCAAGTGGTGTCCTGGTACCCTGGTGAAGCTGGTCCTTCAGTCTCTGGATTCTGTTCTCCAACTCCCTCCCTGTACACTCGCTTTGTGGTAGGAGGAGCTGCACCGAAGTCGATCTGAAACAGCTTGGCTCGGTCTGCGGACTCGATCTTGCGGATGACGGTGATGAACCTGTAGTTGTTCGGATGGTCGTGTGGCAAGGTCCGGTTTAGTCTGTTGTGGAAGCCCTCGAGATTGTTGTTAGTGCGCGGTCCTCTGGTCTGGTGGTGCTTCCATAGGTGCATTGGAAATCTGGCGTCGTCATCCACCCAGTTGGCAACAATGTAGTCATTGAAGTCCACTGAATGAGGGGTGTCAGGAGTTGAGTTCATGGATTCCAGCCACGTGTCTTGCACCAGATCTATGGGAAGGAGTGGAAGTGCTGCAAATCCACTTATGAACACTGGGGTCATCCTTGTAGAGTCTGGCTAATCCCAAGTTTCTGTCTTGCGCTATATGGCTTGAGTGAAATGAAAGAAACATCCCTTGTTCTCGGCATTAGGAAACTCAGCTTCGACAGGCTGGATAGCTGCAAGTGCAAAGTCTGTCTGAACCTTTGATGGAGCAAGGTCTTGAGTAGACTGAAAAATCTTCTGTAAGTTGTCATCTGTCTGTCCGAAAGCAGTGCGTACACCAGGGCGAAGGTAGAGTTACCGTAGAGCGTAGAGCGTAGAGCTGCAGACACTGTTTCAAAACGGCATCAAAGGAATTTCTGCTGCATCTTGTTCAGCTATCATCTGGTTGTAGAGGCCATGCATGTGGGTTGTCTCTTCTCTAGCTCTTTTCCTAAGACTGCCGATAAACTTATCCCGAGTGACATTTTCTGGTGGATGACTGTGGTCAGAAACATTCCTGACAAGATCTCCAACTGTTGTGCATTTGCCCTTCCAAGTCTTAACAATGCATCGCCAGTGCTAACATGTCTGTCGTGTTGTGGACTTGTTGTAGAGGAATCCTTCAAAAAGAACTTGTGATCTGCCTCGCGACGATGGGACATACTCTACTCTTTGTATACCAGCCATGGTTAATGTGCAAGGGTCATCCCCAGTAAATGATGTATTTTCTCAATATTATTGAGTTAACTCTACTAAATAGTTAATCCCGCCTTGAGAAGAAAAAATCATCTCAAGATAAACTGGATGTAAATATTAAATGCTAACTATAAAAACATCATTAATCAAACAAACATTTCTTGAGTAAAAAAACATCATAACTGCTTGCTCTTAATCCTTTTGATCTATTTTACAGTTAAGCTGCTTTACTTTAAATCCTTCTACTGAGCAGCTTGGGCTAGTCCATTATTGTTGTAGGCATAGCAGTAATTAACCCCCAACCGGATTGTGTAACAACTGGCAATATGAGAGTGTGTGACAACCGGCCTGTGCAACAAATGGGAGACAACCTTTAGAGTACTGTGTGGAATTTAATACAGTATCAGTAATCTTGTGTTTTGTTTCATATATGCACAACGACATTGCTAGTCTTGTGTAAACAGGTCAATAAACAATAAAACAATACTTTTTCAGATAAATACGTCTGTAAATAATTCTAAGACTGTACACCATTGTTGTGATGCATATCTGCGACGTTTCCTAAATTATTATTTATCGTATCGTGCATATTTTTTATCCGTACATACGCTGATAGGCCTTTACCCGGTAGCCCTGCGCTGGTTTGGGTAATAGCACTCTAACGGTTTTTACTTTGTCCAATCCCTTCTTTTATTTTATTCTTTCTCCATAAACGAGTAAACATTTGATTGAGTGGTTAATGATATCTCACCATATGTCCACACCACGGGTACAGCAAATGCAGCAATTGAAGCGATCCCAAAATATAGGATGCTTGTCAACTTCCTTCCAATTCTGGGAATAGAGATGGCACGTCAGTGAAATGAGAGTACCTCTTGACATAATTCCAGCCATGTCAAAATATCTGAATCTGAGTGACGGAACAGTTCAAGACATGCTTACGCTTTTTCTCCAATACCTGGTGTCATCGCTGACTTATTCATTCATTTAATTTTGACTACTATATAGCATTATGTATTTACAAATAAAAGCGACAAAACCCTTTCCGCATTCATTAGACATTAGTCGATTGTACAATTCTGACTTTGTCATGCGTATGTATTTGTTTCAACAGTATAACAGCTGTAAGATGGGTTTTTTTTAAACAATCGAGTTGGACCAGACAATCCAATGATTGTCAACTTGCGATATGGACGGATCTGACGGATTAGCAAATGTTTGGATTAACGAATATTTGGCTGAACGAATAATGCATACAACCATGCCCCTGTTATTGTTCTTCGGTTAAAGGGGCGGTGAGGTAGCCTAGTGGTTAAAGCGTTCGCTCGTCACGCCGAAGGCCCGGGTTCCATTCCGCACATTGGGACAATGTGTGAAGCCAATTTCTGGTCCTCCTTACTAAAAACGGCGTAAAATCCAACTCAGTCAGTCAGCCTTCAATTACATATTGTTTATTGAGTTTTGTGAAATGCCTGTGTTAGTTTGTCAGACCATACGATTTGTTTCTCAATCTGCCGACTCAGCTTTTTCTTGCTCCAACGGATCTGAGCATGTCATATAACAAGGTACCTACTTGTTAGCTATGACGAACGTCATCATGGTGCCTGGTACCTCGACAATGGACATCAGGAAGATGTTGAGGTAGAGGTTTCCTGACAGAGAACCAACTCCAAATGATAGACCGTAGTACACAAGCGACATGCAAGCCCTGAAAAAAACATATCAGAATGTGAGGGGCTATCCAACACAGGGAAATAATTAAGAGCAGGGGGTTTTTTTTAAAACATTTTTTAGAAAACGTAGCAGATACGCACCACGGCAATGGTGTACGGTCTTAGAATACTTTACATGCGTATTTATCTGAAAAAGTATTGTTTTATTGTTTATTGACCTGTTTACACAAGAGTACAGCTTGTTCAGCTTGACCTGAGCTACTCTGCATATGCATGACCCGGGAGGTCAAAAGGCACACACGGCAGATCAAGTCAACTTCATTAAAAAGGGGTGCAGAGAATGTTATTAATGATTGTAAACCAAAGGTCACTGTGTTTTTTAATCTGATTTGTTTATAAACATGATCAAATGGTATTCGATTCCCGGAAATTCGCTGCGTATTAATACATACAAACATCGCTCGCACCATTGTACTGTTACGTCGTCAGCTGAGATGACGTCATTCAAATCAAATTGTGACGTAAATATTGTGACGTCACAAATGAGCAGTTCCAGATGCTACCATGGGAGACAGCCGAAACGGACGGCTGATGACATTGCACTGTTGTACCCGTACTATGTCAATGAGTGCAGACACAAAAACATGTGTGGACCTTTAGGTTTACTTTTGTGTTTACAATGTCGATAAACATCATGTGTTGGCCACTTTCCGGGTGTTATTGAGTATTTGAAGCACAGGTATATTCATTTGAAACCTCCGGCTGACGCCGTCGGTTCCAAATGAATTCCCTAGCTTCAAATACTCAATAACACCCGAAAATTGGTCAACACATGATGTTTATCTCCTAACTAAATGCCATAATCGGAAACATTAAACAATCTCAAGTTTCTTTTTTAAAGAAAGTTAGGACATTGCTGACGATTTCTCGACACTGAGATGTCAAAGGGCGAACTTGTCTCGGCTGTTGACAATGAACTGACAAAGGTGCATCCCTTCAAAATAATAGACCCAACCAGTTGTGACACGGTCACGCAATGCATTAGTATTCACTTAGTCAGGTCAAGCAGAACAAGCTGTAGAAATGTTGTGTTGCATATATGAAACGAAACACAAAATTACTGATAAGCCATTAAATTCCATCCAGTACTCTTAATGTACTCTTAAGTTTTTCCGGTACTCCTATATTGAAACATTCAGGCGTACGTACTCCTGATGTTGAAAAATTATCTGGAGCCCTGCATCAGTACTGTCTGTGTCAATGTTACTGCAAACACTTTATCACACACTAATACCAGACCCCAAATGCCACCATGTTCCATGTTCGTAATGGTACGTATACCGAAAAGACTGCTCCAACACACACTGCCACAATACACCGTAACTGTCCCGCACCGTATCATATCTACGGTACAGGAGACAAGATTGGGACGGCGTTTTGTTCACTGACGAGTCGAGATTTCATCTGGCAGGTCAGACGGCGAGGTGAACGGTATGCTTTGTTCTACGTCGACAGTTTGGTGTTGACAGCGTTATGGTATCGGGAAACATGCCATCCCATGTTTTTTTACATAACTTGTCGATGGCCATCTGACAGGTCTGCTATATGGGAAATGCGATCAATGGGTCTCATGTGCAGCACTTCATTCAAGGACAGAGACGTAACTTTAAGCTTCATCACATCACATCACATCAAATAACACCACATATCAGACATTACACCCCATGTCACACATTACACGTCACACATTACACCCAACGTCACTCATTACACCACACATCACATCACACATCACATCACATGTTCCTGACCTATTATAGTCGCGGTATGTGTACTGGTAGGGTCCTGTGCTCACCAGATGAACTGGATGACAAGCGACCAACAATACATGTTCCTGACCTATTATAGTCGCGGTATGTGTACTGGTAGGGTCCTGTGCTCACCAGATGAACTGGATGACAAGCGACCACCAATACTTATCCTGCTTTTCACATAAATGTCGTTTTCTGATTGGCTGAGCCAATCAATGTACCCCGCTTACAAGCGTGTAACATTTTCCAGGTTACCCGCTGGAAATGGCCATGTTTGGGGGTATTTGTTTGGTACTTGGTACTAGTAGTGTTTGGGCTGTTTGGGCCTAACGCCGGTACTCCTTATTACGATCTAATACCCGTGCTTCCCCTCGCCCTTCTTGCTCAGATTACGTGAACAAATATAGAGGGTACATCAACCCATGTTTCCACCCAGAACCTCATCCTCACCCCCACCCCCCTCGTGACCAGTAAACAACTTATAATCTTCCTGACCTGTTAAGGCCGCGGTAGGTGTACCAGTAGGGCTCCATACTCCCAAGATAAACTGGAATATCAGTGACCTCCAGGTCAGGTCGAGGTGGTTTTACTAGTAGGGCTCCATACTCACCAGATGAACTGGATGATCAGTGACCTCCAACACAAGCTCCAGCCCTGGTACAGGTCGAGGTGGTTTTGCTAGTAGGGCTCCATACTCTCCAGATAAACTGGAATATCAGTGACCTCCAGGCCAGGTCGAGGTGGTTTTACTAGTAGGGCTCCATACTCTCCAGATGAACTGGATGATCAGTGACCTCCAACACAAGCTCCAGCCCTGGTACAGGTCGAGGTGGTTTTGCTAGTAGGGCTCCATACTCTCCAGATAAACTGGAATATCAGTGACCTCCAGGCCAGGTCGAGGTGGTTTTACTAGTAGGGCTCCATACTCACCAGATGAACTGGATGATCAGTGACCTCCAACACATGCTCCAGCCCTGGTACAGGTCGAGGTGGTTTTGCTAGTAGGGCTCCATACTCTCCAGATAAACTGGAATATCAGTGACCTCCAGGCCAGGTCGAGGTGGTTTTACTAGTATGGCTCCATACTCACCAGATGAACTGGATGATCAGTGACCTCCAACACATGCTCCAGTCCTTGTAAAGGTCGAGGTAGGTGTACTTAGTGCCCGATGCCCGCAATGTATTTTCCTCCTCTGCAACCCGTTTTAGCATCTCTGCGGTGTTGGGAGATTTCTCCTTCCGGTTGTATCGACTCATCTGCTCGACCACCTTCTCCGCCTCCTCAAGCCGTCCCTTCACAGTCAGCCACCGGAGGCTTTCTGGGACGATGCTAAACAAAAGTAATATTCAAACTCAAACGAAACTGTGATCATGTGAGCATGTTAGTTAGTGACTAGCATTATTAGAACAGTTTCACCGCAAGATACAGTGGAAATGGGCGTCACCCTTTGTATCTTGCCATTGTACGCATGTGGGAGCGCCACTTTAAGCAATAATCCAGTAAAATGACGACGGGGATCCCAGGGCTTCACACATTGTTCCCATGTAGGGAATCGATCCCTGGCCTTCGGCCTGACGAGCCAAGGCTTTAAAAATCGGCTACACCACCGCCCAACCATTATGGGAAACGGACCTACTGTACACATGCGAGAGCATGCGCATGCTTGACCCTTTTCTAAAACTGAAGGATATTTGTGGTGGATTTTACTAGAGAGCCATCCAGATCTACACAAAAATGGACTGCACGTCAGACATTACCAAATGTCATCTCTGTGGGTATGGGAATAAATCGAGTAGGCCCGAATGGAACAGTTCACTTCATCCCATAGAAGCCATTCCAAGTCAAATACCATTAGCATATAGCGCTTGGGTGAGCAGCAACTCCACTATTGCCTCTTCCCATTTTATTTGGTCAGCGATTGTTTTACGTTACTACGTCTGCAATATCACGGCGCCAAAAAAAAAAAGACTTAGCCTTCTCTTGGAAGATTAAAGAGAGTAGTAAGTGAAGGAGTTACTTTTAAACCTGCTTTAGTGCTTACAGGCTACGTTCACAGCCTTGGCGAAACCCACGAGCATAGGTACCACGAGCAGGATAAACCGGGATTCGAACCCACTAAGGTCCCAAAAGGATGCAATGAATCGTGAATCACAGCACCTTTGAAGGCTGGCCACACTATGATTCCCGATGCTTACTGAAACAGAACAAAGTGTATTGTGTCACTCACAACCAGCCCAGGAAAAAAGGGATGTGCAGAGCTGCGTTGATGAGGTGTTGGTTGTGCCAGTCTGGCTGCAGCCACGTTGCTAAAGCCATCAACCCGACTCCACACGCCCAGAGAGGCAGCGAGGAACAAACCGACCTCCATTTGGTACCCACGAACTCCATCGCATATGGATATGAAGTTGTGAAGAATATGCCTATCCCGAAGCCAATGAAAAACCTGAAAGTGGCAAACATTTGCCAAGACACCGAGAAAGCAGCTCCAATGTTACACACGCCGTGTAGAAGGATCCCAAGGTAGTAGGTTCTCTTCCTTCCAATGACATCAGCTGACTGTCCTCCCAAAAACGCACCTGCCAAGACGCCGGCCATCTGAATTGACGTCATTGTTGCCGCAATTGTGTCTTTGTCACAGACAAGGTTCCACTGGATAAAATAGAAACGTTCGCATATAGTGTGTTTGTTCGTTGCCTAACACATCAAGAAATATTGTCTTGTAAACACTCCACTGTTGTCAAAAATACTTTGAGTGGATCACGCTTTGAACAGTATTATAACTTTCTGTGGAAGAAAAGCCGGGAATGGTGATGCACATCACCACACACTGACAACTTATGAGTCAGATTTAGGGTATAATTGGGAGTAGAACCGACGATGATCCGAACCTTAAACAGCGAAATGACACGGGAGTAACCATGAAGTAATTAAATGTAAGAAACGTCTGAAAAAAGTGCCACGGTGTGCTGACAAACGATGACCCACAGTGTGCTGACAAATGGGGACTGATGGGGTACTAACTGACGGGGACTCACAGGGTGCTGATAAATTGGGACTCACATGGTGCTGAAAAACAGGGACTCAAAGGGTGCTGACAAACAGGGATTCACAGGGTGCTGATAAACAGGGACTCACGGGGTGCTGACTAACTGGGACTCACAGGCTGCTGACTAGCGGGGACTCATGGGGTGCTGACAAACGGGTACTCACAGGGTGCTGATAAACGGGTACTCACAGGGTGCTGACTTACAGGGACTGACGGGCTGCTGACAAACGGGGACTCACAGGGTGCTGACAAACGGGTACTCACAGGGTGCTGATAAACGGGGACTCACGGGTGTCGGATAAAAGATGAATTCACGGCATCCGTGTTGGATTCACCGACGACTTACATGGTTTAGGCAAACAGAAACCAGCTCAGCAACACTGACCACCACATTCGTTCTAATCACTGACCAGTCACATAAACAGATTGTTCACTAGATCCACAATGGGGGCACGATGTGATGAGGATGAAAAACACTCACCTGATTTATGACGGTGTTCATATCATCGGCGTATACATAGGTGCAGGAGTCGTTATCACCCTTTGGACACTGCTGGAACGTCGTGTTGTCCCTGTAGCTGACGTTGTTGGGGTCAACGCCGGGAGGCGTGCACCACCAGTTTGGGGCCACGTTTGCGAATGACATTATCATCATACTCCAACCGAGTATCAGCTTAACGCCGAATATGATACTCAGCATCGCTAGTTGGAATGGTCCAAAACCTCCAACACTCTCAATGATTTCTTCTATCGACATGATGGAAGATGGCCCTGTTTACTATCAGCTTCTGTGGCAAAGAAAAGTGACAAAATTGAATCAATTACCATAAGAGTGAGTGTGTAAGTGTATATTTTTGGTCAAAATAAGAATTCTATAAGAGATTTATTCGTCACCGATGTGTCGAACTTTACTTTGTCCACCAAATGTTCATCATATGAAACTTTACTGATGCCTTTATTGGTGTAATCCTGATCAGACAATATTGGACAAGGATTCGCGTGACTCTAGAAATTTTCATTCAAGAGTGAGTGAGTGAGTGAGTGAGTTTAGTTTTACGTCGCTTTTAGCAATATTTCTTCATTCAAGAGCGTTCGAGCGGACCTCAAAGAAATGGATAAACAATTTTGCATCATTCTCCTGAAATATGTATTTAATTATTATTTTGAAATGATTTGAAGCTTACTCATCATCTAAAACTTGTTTATATTGCATTAAAATAACATTTTGTGTAAATATACGTTAGCATTTTATGACGTCCATGTGTTTACATGCAACTCAATGTGTACATTTGAACATTAATTTTAGGTCCGAGTGTCAGTATTGTGACGCAAATTGCTCTTTGATGAATGTATTTCGTTTGTTGTTTTTTAATGTAGCAACATTCCAGCTACATGGCGGCTGTCTGTAAATAATCGATTCTGGACCAGACAATCCTGCGATCCACAGCATGAGCATTCGCAATTGGAATAAGGTGACATGTGTCAACCAAGCTAGCTAGATTAACGACCCGATCCCATCAGTCGCCTCTTATCCCATGCAGGGGTTGCTGAAGGCCAATTCTAACCCGGGTATCTTTGATGAATGTGAAATATGTGTACTTTCAAGGGTACTTCCGGGTAAAAACAATACTGTCAGCAGAATTAGATTTGACTAAGCAACCGTCATGAAGACGTTCCTTAGCATTTCCACAGCTACCGGAAATATTTATTTCTATTAATATTTGTATGACAATAATGACCGAATTGGGAACACATGTCAGCCGGCAGTGAAGTATTGTAGTAGATGTCACGACCGGCAATGATCATGAAGGAAGGTAGTCTCAAGAAGGGAAGTGTCAAATGTTTCATATCAGTAGTACGTGATACCGACTTGATTTGTCAAACATGTCATTTACTCGACGAGGCATACTACTTAGTAATATGATTTCCCCAATAACAATTTGAGGAGTCCGTCTCACTCCTCTTGCAGCGCTGAACCAACTTCAGTCAACGTGGGGCGGAAGGATAGCCTAGTGGTTAAAGCGTTCGCTCGTCACGCTGAACACCCGGGTTCGATTCCCCAGATGTGTATAATGTGTGAAGCCCATTTCAAGTGTCCCCCATCGTGATATTGCTGGAATATTGCTAAAAGCGAGATAAAATCATACTCACTCACTCAGTCAGTCAACGTAATCGACGCACAAATCTCTGCGTACTGTCCAAGAATCGTCCAATGGAAGAAATGTTTGTGCTCACTGCTTGCCACGAAATTTTATGAAATTTATGATGCTGAAGACAAAACGTCGACCCACACACCATGCAAACGAGGCAACGCGGATGGTCAGGATGTTGTCCCTATAGTGTTATCAAGGTACCCCTCCTTTTACAGTGTGAGGCTGGATTTGTGATGCTACCCGGGAGGTATGTGGGATTACGTATGGCCCACGTTTAATAGCTATATATAGTGTCCTACATGACCAATTGTATTACTCACTACACGAAACAAACACGGTATCCCTCGGTTGAATATTGATGGACTGCCTACCTGCGTCCACCTGGAAATAATTCTAACGCACTGAGATAAAGTGTTAAACTACTCATCAGTTTGTTTGGTCACGATGGAACACCCCAAATATACTAGAATTTATAGTTTACTAGGGAATCTGTAATCATAGAGACGTTTGACCAACTTGTTAGATGGGTACACAAAGTTCAAGGTCTACAGTTGGTTCTGTCGCAAAGTGGGTTAGATTACTGACCCTGTGTGCTGACGATTCGGTGCTTCTCTCTGAGAAGTGTCGGGAAATGCAGATTGGACTAAACCGTGTATAAAACTACTGAGTCTCATGCAAAACAGTTCTTAATGCTTGCTCCTTCGCACCTTGCAAAAGTTAACACGGCACATTCTGAGTTTAAGGACTACGACTAATTCTGAATGTTAGACATATAACACGAAAGACACTTTAAACAGTGAAAGGTACTGCCATACAATCTCGGACACCTGTTAGCTAATTCCTTCCCTGGTTTGGGTTTGGAATTTGTTCACGCCGAAGACCCGGGTTCGAATCCCCACATGGGCACAATGTGTGAAGCCCATTTCTGGTGTCCCCCGCCGTGCTGTTGCTGGAATATTGCTAAAAGCGGCGTAAAACCAAACTCAGTCAGTCAGTTGGAATTTGTTATTCAAAAACATTGTCAAAATTGTTTCCAATGTGTAGTCTTCAATGTAAGTCGCCACTCACAAACCAATACCGTAAAGCTGGAGAAAGCTGCTTTATGATTGGCTAATGTCGACTTCTTGTTAGTTGATTGACAATAGGTCAATCAAAGTTCGCAAGTCTTCTGACGTGGCCTTTCAATGCATTGTCATCAGAGCACTACATAGTGGTAACGAGCACTAATTTAAGATTTTAAAAACTCATTTAAAAAGAGCAGCCAAATTGAATGGGTTTTTTTAAGAATCCCACAGGAGAGTGTTTTGGACTCTCACGTGTAAAACCAGCTACATCAAAGCCAGGCATGATGCGAGTACATACATCTTTATGCTTTTGCAAAACACAAAATATGAGTTTAAGCAAATGGAAGTATCCTTCTCCAAGTTTTTAATAAAACCACAATGTAGCTGAATTGAGCTGAATTAGGCATCATGATAGCTACATTGATACACTGTCATGTATTTGCCGAAGAAAAGCATTGAAAATCAGTTAATTCGTTCGCATTGAAATATTTCAATCAAATGAAAGTTTTGATCAAAGAAAATATTCTCGCCATGTCTCCTGTACATGGGTGATATATTTTCAAGTTTTAATTTCGAGTTTTCGAGGTAACGGTTATTTAATTTTTTTAATTCCATGTTCAAACTTCCTATTCATGCTGAATGTTGGGCAAGCCTTGCCAAAGCTCATCCACAGTTGTAATCGGACTCGTCCTTTCATGATACTCAACCGTTTTCTGAAGAGTATATAACTCACTTTATGTGCATGTGGAGGCATCGGATAAAGTTAGCAAGACTGCGTACCACCGTTTATAAACATCCTATACATATATTCTATTGTGATTCCTTTTCAAAGAAAAATATAACATGAACCCCAGTTCGACATGATAAATACTAAGTACATACCCCGTCCCAAACCCCCTCAGATGTATTTAACTTTTTGAATCGAATCAAAAGCCCATAATACATTGTAAATCTTACCAGTTTAATAGCCAGGACAGTCATCCGACCCCTTGTTTACAACTTGATAAGAACTACCTGACCCTCTCACACTGGGTCATCTCCAGATTAAGGAATGATGATCATGCAAATTCCTGTAGCGTTCCTGGCGAAGATTCAAACACGTTGTGATTGATATTCAAATTTACACAGCAATGTGTTTGACATTGCAATATTTACTTTTTAAAATAAATATGATCATGCAAATGATAGTTAAATCGTGTCATTACAATGCGACATTATTACATAGCAGGTTTATCTAAGCGATAGTGTCCATGGCCTGCAAAATAGATAACGCAAATCTTTAAGTAGGTTGTCTACGCATGGCAGTGGCATGCTACAGGTTACACTACACCAAATCAGAATCCGTTTTTTAACAAACACTTTTCGTCCCGAACCTTCAGTGCAGACTGAATCAGCTGACAGTTGTGAGAGTGCAAGTTTGATTTTACGCTGCTTTTATTTTATTAATATTCCAGCAATATCACCAGAAATGGGCTTCACACATTGTACCAGGTCTTAGGCCTGACGAGCGATCGCTTTAACCACTAGGCTACCCAACCACCCACTCTGACAGAGTGATTGGGTGATTTTGTGTATTTTTAAAATGTACATCCATCCAGCAATTAAAACTGACCATATTTGTTAATATTAAAAAATAGTGCTGTTTTTCTTACATGATGACTTATACTGAATGTGACCACAGGTATTTTCAAGCAGTTGACGTTTTGTGCGGATCTGGGGTTGGTCCGCTTAGCTTGGGATGTTCATATTTCCTATTTTCATTGCTTCTTTAAGGCCAGACTATGCACACATGAACGTGTAATAGCTGTTGATATTTCTGTTACTTTAGTTAAAAATATAACGTTACTATAGAAGTCAAGGGGAAGGTATTTGGTTTTGTGTAACCTGTACTCGACAAGGACCCAACTATGTGACGGAGGTCTGTGAACTGTCAAGTGTTAAACAATACAATTTGGCGTCTTACATCATGATCATCCATCTACGTAAATGACATACAATGACATACATCAGTTCGGTCATGAACAGCGAGTTTGACCACCTCATCCCGTTAGCCGCCTTTTACAAGCAACGGTTGCTAAGACACAGTCTAACCCGGATATTCATGAAGGCAGTCACTGATAATGTTTCGGTGGCAGGATCCGGAGAGGGGTGCGTTTTACATTTACCCTGAATGGGATCTTCGCTTTATCACCACCACACCTTTGTCGTTGTTTTCAAGCTAATGATAAATGCTAACGACCTGCATCTGTTTTTTTTATACATATGTACACGCCGATAAGTAACGAGTGAGTGAGTTTAGGTTTACGCCGCACTCAGCAATGTTCCAGCTAGTGATCAACAGCACGAACTCAATCAAGTCAGCGAGCCTGACCACCCGATCCTGTTAGTCGCCCCTTACGACAAACATGGGTTACTGAAGACACTGTTCGATCAACTAGCCTTAAGCATTAACGCGTTCTCTCGCCACGCCGTAGACCTGGGTTCGAACCCCCACATGGATACAAAGTGTGACCACTTCCATCGTCGTGACATTGCTGGAATATTGCAAGAAAACGGCACAAAACCATACTCAAGCAATCAATCAAACAATTCACTCCTCCACTCTAGTATTGAAAATAATAAATGCGAAAAAATACGAAACACAAATCTAAGTTTTGTTGCCTTCTAACAGACAATATGATTTATGATTAGATTTGACAGATGATCTCTTCAAGCAGCATTTGACCCAACTGGTGGTCGTATCAGCATCTGTACTGTCACTCAAGGGTATGATAATGATATGGTTAATATACTGAACATCATTGAAAACGCACCACCTGTATTAGTTTAGATTTCCAAGAGCATAAATGAGCAATCGGTGTAAATTTTACATACTTTTGTAGCCCAATGATTGGTAAAGAAAAGAAACAAGAACCAATCAAGCAAAACAGTGAAGTTTTAATGCAGCTGACCATGAAAGAAAGATGGAGTCAAATTTGAAAGTCAGTAACGTGTATGACCACCGTTAGCAGCAACACAAGCTGTGCAACGTCTGCTCGTTGAACTGATAAGTCTCTGAATAATTTTTTGAGGCAATGCTTTCCACTCTTGTTCCAAGGCATTCTCAAGTTCCCCAAGATTGTTGATCTGTGGGCGACGTGAGAGGCGTTGGCCGATGTAATCCCACAAGTGTTCAATGGGAGACAAATCTGGTGACAATGCAGGCCATGGAAGTAGAGGAATGTTGTTGTTTGCCAGAAACTGTGTTGCAACACGTGCAGTGTGCGCGCGCTTGAGCATTGTCCTGCTGGAATGTGTGCAGATCTTGATATTGGTTAAAGAAGGGAACGACGTTGTTCTGAAGAATGGTGTCACGGTAGTAAAGGGCATTCACTCTGCCACGACAAACTACCAGAGCGGTTTTGTGATGATAAGTGATCCCTCCCCACACCATAATGCTTCCACCCCACCGATCTGTTTGCACAACACAGTCCTGATGGTAACGTTCTCCCCGTCGACGCCATACCCGTAGACGCCCGTCAGCATTTCGCAAGTGAAAACGTGACTCGTCGGAGAACACAACACCATGCCAACGTCCTAACAACCACAAACGCTGCTGTTCAGCCCATCGTCGGCGTTCACGGCGATGTCTATCAGTCAGGTTGGGTCCAACATAAAGGCGTCGACACCGTAATCCTGCCGCACGGAGACGGCGTCAGACGGTGGAAGCACTGATCAAACCACGTCAGCCTTGCACAGCGTTGGCGGTTCTGGCAGCTGGCAACGTACGATCCCGAATATGGCGCCGAACAATGTCTCGAACTTGGCGAGGGGTGGTAACACGTGCCTGGCCAGGACGTTGGCGGTCCCTGGTAGTTGGTACCTGTTGGCAAGTCTTATGATGGTGGAACGATGGCAACCAAATCGTCTGGCAATAATCCTGCTTGGTGTGCCAACCTGCAACATGCCCAACGCCCGTTCTCGTTCCTCTGGTGACAATCTTGGCATTGCAAAATAAACTTTTATTGAACATCCCAAGCTAAGCAGACCAACCCCAGATCCGCACAAAACGTCAACTGCTTGAAAATACCTGTGGTCACATTCAGTATAAGTCATCATGTAAGACAAACAGCACTATTTTTTAATATTAACAAATATGGTCAGTTTTAATTGCTGGATGGATGTACATTTTAAAAATAAAAATTTCTGGGGATATTGCGTGAATATTAATAATATAAAAGCAGCGTAAAATCAAACTCGCCCTCTCACAACTGTCAGCTGATTCAGTCTGCACTGAAGGTTCAGGACGAAAAGAGTTTGTTAAAAAACGGATTCTGTTTTGGTGTAGTGTAACCTGTAGCATGCCACTGCCATGCGGAGACAATCCTACTTAAAGATTTGCGTTATCCATTCTGCAGGCCATGCATACTATCACTTAGATATACCTGCTATGTAATAATATTGCATTGTAATGACACGATTTAACTATCATTTGCATGATCATATTTAAAATTTTATTTTAAAAAGTAAATATTGCAATGTCAAACACATTGCTGTGTAAATTTGAATATCAATCTCAGCGTGTTTGAATCTTTGCCAGGTACCCTACAGGAATTTGCATGATCATATATAATTCCTTAATCTGGAGATGACCCAGTGTGAGAGGGTCAGGTAGTTCTTATCAAGTTGTAAACAAGGGGTCGATGATTTCAGCAGTCATAGCGATTAAACTAGTAAGAATTACAATGTATTATGGGCTTTTGATTCGATTCAAAATGTTAAATACATCTGAGGGGGTTTGGGACAGGGTATGCACTTAGCATTTATCATGTCGAACTGGGGTTCAAGTTATATTTTTCATTGAAAAGGAATCACAATAGAATATATGTATAGGATGTTTATAAACGGTGGTACGCAGTCTTGCTAACTTTATCCGATGCCTCCACTTGCACATAAAGTGAGTTATATACTCTTCAGAAAACGGTTGAGTATCATGAAAGAACGAGTCCGATTACAACTGTGGATGAGCTTTGGCAAGGCTTGCCCAACATTCAGCATGAATAGGAAGTTTGAACATGGAATTAAAAAAATTAAATAACCGTTACCTCGAAAACTCGAAATTAAAACTTGAAAATATATCACCCATGTACAGGAGACATGGCGAGAATATTTTCTTTGATCAAAACTTTCATTTGATTGAAATATTTCAATGCGAACGAATTAACTGATTTTCAATGCTTTTCTTCGGCAAATACGTGACAGTGTATCAATGTAGCTATCAGAATGCCTAATTCAGCTCAATTCAGCTACAATGGGGCTTTATTAAAAACATGGAGAAGGATACTTCCATTTGCTTAAACTCATATTTTGTGTTTTGCAAAAGCATAAAGATGTATGTACTCGCATCATGCCTGGCTTTGATGTAACTGGTTTTACACGTGAGAGTCCAAAACACTCTCCTGTGGTATTCTTAAAAAAAACCATTCAATTTGGCTGCTCTTTTTAAATGAGTTTTTAAAATCTTAAATTAGTGCTCGTTACCACTATGTAGTGCTCTGATGACAATGCATTGAAAGGCCACGTCAGAAGACTTGCGAACTTTGATTGACCTATTGTCAATCAACTAACAAGAAGTCGACATTAGCCAATCATAAAGCAGCTTTCTCCAGCTTTACGGTATTGGTTTGTGAGTGGCGACTTACATTGAAGACTACACATTGGAAACAATTTTGACAATGTTTTTGAATACCAGATTCCAAACCAGGAAGGAATTAGCTAACAGGTGTCCGAGATTGTATGGCAGTATCTTCCACTGTTTAAAGTGTCTTTCGTGTTATATGTCTAGCATTCAGAATTAGTCGTAGTCCTTAAACTCAGAATGTGCCGTGTTAACCTTTGCAAGGTGCGAAGGAGCAAGCATTAATAACTGTTTTGCATGAGACTCAGTAGTTTTATACACGGTTTAGTCCAATCCGCATTTCCCGACACTTCTCAGAGAGAAGCACCGAATCGTCAGCACACAAGATCAGTAATCTGACCCATTTTGCGACAGAACCAACTGGTAGGCTAGATAGCTGTAGCTGGAATGTTGCTACATTAAAAAACAACAAACGAAATACATTCATCAAAGAGCAAGTTGCGTCACAATACTGACACTCGGACCTAAAATTAATGTTCAAATGTACACATTGAGTGGCATGTAAACACATGGACGTCATAAAATGCTAACGTATATTTACACAAAATGTTATTTTAATGCAATATAAACAAGTTTTAGATGATGAGTAAGCTTCAAATCATTTCAAAATAATAATTAAATACATATTTCAGGAGAATGATGCAAAATTGTTTACCCATTTCTTTGAGGTCCGCTCGAGCGCTCTTGAATGAAGAAATATTGCTAAAAGCGACGTAAAACTAAACTCACTAACTCACTCTTGAATGAAGTGAGTCACGCGAATCCTTGTCCAATATTGTCTGATAAGGATTACACCAATAAAGGCATCAGTAAAGGTTTCATATGATGAACATTTGGTGGACAAAGTTCGACACATCAGTGACGAATAAATCTCTTATAGAATTCTTATTTTGACCAAAAAGAAATATACTTACACACTCACTCTTATGATAATTGATTCAATATTGTCACTTTTCTTTGCAACAGAAGCTGAAAGTAAACAGGGCCATCTTCCTTCATGTCGATAGAAGACATCATTGAGAGTGTTGGAGGTTTTCGTTAAAGTGGAATAAGAACGAAAACAAAACTTTTGATATATTGTAAAGGATATCCTTAAAGTCACCTCCCGTGATTAAAACTGAGCAAGAGGTTTGTAAGATAGCAATAAAAACACAAAAACGTACTCGTATTTCCGCCTATTACGGAAACACCCGTCAGTTAATGAGCAGAGGGGGTATCACGTGACGTGATGTCATATGTGCCTGTTGCTGATGCCCAAAGGACAAGGTATGATAAGGGTTATAAGATACTAGTTTTGGCCCACAAACAGAATTGGCTGAACACATGTTATTTGTTTAGAGACAAGATAGCTTTGCATAAAAATTTAGCTATTTTTTTCAAATGATCTGAGGCCATAATTTCAATGCAGAGGGGCCCAAAATGGGTTTTATCAGTTCCCATGAAAAATAACAAGAAGTCTGAAATATCAGTGTGCCATAATGACTTATATACAACTATCAGTTTATTTACATACAAATAGTATCAGTTTTACAACAGGTATTCATGATGAAGAAACATGTCAACATCAATCACAAGGTTTTAACTTCAAGGGGCCCAATTAGGGTTGCAATACATTGTGGACAGTAATTCAATTACTTGCCAATTGATTACAAAAAAACTCATTATTCACAATTTTCTTTGCAAATATAAACTGTAGGTCAATTTTACAACATGTACTTATGATAACCAATCATGTCCTACTAAAAGTCACAGGTCTTGACCTCAAAGGGGCCTATTTCAGGTGAAATTACATTCTTGGCACAGCTTGATTTAACACCATGTAAGTGTTAAAAGTCAGTATTTACAACATTCTTGCAAATATACAGTAAACATCTCATTCACAACATGTTGTTATAATAACCAATCATGCCTCCCTAAATATCACAGGTCTTGACCTCAAAGGGGGCCATTTTGGGTGAAATTACATTCTTGACACAGCTTGATTTTAACACCATGTAAGTGTTAAAAGTCAGTATTTACAACATTCTTGCAAATATACAGTAAACATCTCATTCACAACATGTTGTTACAATAACCAATCATATTGCACTAAAATTCAGGTCTTGACCTCAAAGGGGCTCCATTTTGGGTGAAATTACATTCTTGGCACAGCTTGATTTTGACACCAAGTAAGTGTTAAAAGTCAGTATTCAAAAATCTTCAAAAAAGTAATTATTCACAACTCATTCACTGCAAAGATATATAAAACATCCACTTTCACTCTTCATCCACATGGTCATCAATCTCTGAATCAGTTTCTGAATCACTGTCAAAACTGCAGCATTCAACCATGTATCACTAGAGTTGCTGGAAACAGGCATATTGTCTTGGTGTTTGCCATACCCAGATCTTCTCTCAACTGAAAAACAGATGACTTTATATCAAAAGAAAATTCTGTTTTAAAAACTTTGATATTATAAATCTATTCAAGGGTAACATTACTTATTTATTTTCAAATGTCAGTAGTCTGGCTTTGAAGGCTTATGCAGATTTAATCACCACTGAGGCATCAGTATTTCTGAAATTCTGTCACACTAAATTAGAAAATTGAAAAAAATTAATATTGATTATTTTTTAACACACATATTATGCTTACCTTCAACCTCAAGTTTTAAGTTGTCATCTTCATGAAATGACACTCCTGAAATCAGACCAAGCAAATTTCTCTTATCTGAAAACAAATATTTGAAATCATAAAAGAATTATCATTATGTTCAAGAAATTGGTGCTTTCTAATTTTTCTAATGCTAAATATGTCAATAGTATAGTTATATAGGGAAGGGAATTGACCTCCAATAGCATAATCAATTGTTGAGGCCACCTTTTGATCAATTATAGATATAAGATAAAAACAACTGTTAGAGCACATGAAAACAAAGGTAATCAGTTCTCAGTTTCAATATGACAATTGAAACCAATAGTCATTGATTCTGTAAACATATATTTAAGAAGAAATAGTGAACGCATTAATTGATTATGTGTTTTGGTTATCGGTGATTGACTGGCAGCCCACAAAATATCCATAAACTAATTATTTGTTTGATCAGTACACCACTAATTAACAGCTCTGGACAGTTTGTAAATATTTACTTAAAGAAATTACCATACTAACATTTTGAAACAATGCTTACCTTCTCCAGGTTCTTTATTGTGTGGCAACAAAGGCAACGAGACAGAGTGGAAAAGTCAGTGTCTTCAGGCTTAAACAAGATTTACATGATGTTAATTCAAGTCTGTTTGAACTTAAATTACCAAACTTAAGAAAACATTTTTGATAACATTTGGATTTCATGTGTACAAGTTCAGTTAAACATTGTAAATTGGCTGACCAAACTTTTGAAAAAAAAAAAAAAAAAAAACCCATCAGGATTTGAACCTGCATGTCTGATAACAGAAAAAAATTGACAGGCCATCACTGTAACCACTAGGCTACAAATCTACTATTACCTCTTGTCACTTTAAGCTTATATATTACACTTTGCAACAATGTGTCACTTGGCGTCTGCTTGCTTTTCATCATCTGCTAGACCTTGATACAATGTTCTTATTCTAACAATATTAAATGTAGCCTAATATATCCTAGAAAACATCAAGGTACATTATTTTTGTTAAAATGTGTATGTTTATACACAGTTACATCCTGTGGAATGCCAGTGTTATTTGACAGTGCCAGTTGAAACAGAGGGGTTTGCTAAACAGATGATAGAACAAATATGATACAATTCTAGCATAATTACAAATATTCTCACCTTTAGAATGCTGCCTGATCATATTTTGAAAAATCTTCTGATGTCTTCTTACTTTTCCAGCAGAGATCAACAGGGTCTCCAAAAAACTTCCCTTGTTTACCTCAAAGTAATCAGCCTTGAGAGTCCCTTACGATATGGAATGGTTTAATAAACATGCTTGATAAGTTCATTTTAGTGCTCTAAAACATTCAAAATAAATAATGAATCTGGTATAGTTGTGTAAATGTGACGGATAGTTTTCAGAGATATTACTTTACGCCAATGTTTATTTTTGAGATGTTGTATGGGGCAATTTCATATAACAGAAAAATGTACTTTTTTTAAACATTTTGATATGAGCAAAAGCGTGACCCACCACAATTTTTTAGGAGTGCATTCTAATTTACTCTCTTCATGTGCGGTGAAAAAATTGGGATGGGTCATGCTTTTGCTCACACTTTTTTATCACTCTGAAAGTATGAAAATGTAGGTTTTTCGAAGATATTGTAAAATAGGTAAACTTTGAGGTCTTCAAAGAGGAAAAAAAACAGCACTAAAACATAAAAAAGGCATATGGAGGTAATTTCAACAATTTATTTAGCATTTTTTATGCTAAAATTATCATGTTGTAGAACTTTGAATATCATGAAATTTTGTGGGCCAATAACGGCCTTTATCATACCTTGTCCTTTAGTCATTCATTCTAATTGGGTCAAATTTATTAAAAATGATTAAATATATGCCGTAAATGCATAGTTTTTGTCAACTTTGATATAATGTTCTTCATATAAAAATTATTTGGAAGTATATTTCTGATAAATGTTCCATTAGTAAACTCATATCTATGTATATAATTTTAAATGAAGAACATAATATCAAAGTTGACAAAACTATGCATTTATGGCCTATATTTAATCATTTTAAATAAATTGGGGCATTTTGACTACCCCATGGGGCAATTTGACCAAAACCTCAGGGCATTTTGACTAACTTTGCTGGGGCAATTTGTAGCGGGGGCAGTCTGACTGGCAATTGGACTTTAAACTAATTTTATGTTTAAAATACCACTGACAGTAAGTTGTAACAGGGAATGATGGAGTATAAATGAATCTCGTGGGTACTTCTTCCTTCTTCAGCCTAGCTTTGGGATTTCCATACCCCATGTGTGCATGTCTCTTTCATATGCGTCCGACTCGGAATGATCGGAGCATTTCCCCTGCCTAAATCTGTCTCTTTACTTGGAAAACGGAAGAAATGGTGGCCCCAGGGAACGGAATACACCATCATACCATTTACAAAACGACAGAAACTGTAGCGATTGTTCGTTGGCAATATGGAGGACGTTTGTCACATATGACGTCACGAGCGGAAAGGTCACGTGAGTTCCAGCAGAATATGCATAATGGCCGAAGCTGAGATAACAGAAACTGTTTTCGCGATAAAAACACAACAAACCATATTTTTGAAATAAATATTGGGGTACATGTTTCTGATGACTTTATGTTTCACCCAGCAAATTATTGCAATTTTCTAGTATTCTCCTTTTAGCTGATACTCGCTTGGAGTATGATGATAATGTCATTCGCAAGCGTCGCCCCAGACTGGTGGTGCACACCTCCCCGCGTTGACCCCAACAACGTCAGCTACAGGGACAACACGACGTTCCAGCAGTGTCCCAAGGGTGATAACAACTCCTGCACCTATGTATACGCCCATGATATGAACACCGTCATTAATCAGGTGAGTGTGTTGTATCCTCAACACGTCGTGCCCCCATTGTGGATCTAGTGAACAATCTGTTTATGTGACCGTGTAGGAGAACGAATGTGGTGGTCAGTGTTGCTGAGCTGGTTTCTGTTTGCCTGAACCTTGTAAGTCGTCGTTGAATCAAACACGGATGCCGTGAATTCATCTTTTATCCGACACCCGTGAGTCCACGTTTGTCAGCACCCTGTGAGTACCCGTTTGCCAGCACCCAGTGAGTCCCCGTTTGTCAATCCCCCGTGAGCGCCTGTTTGTCAGCAGCCCGTCAGTCCCTGTAGGTCAGCACCCTATGACTCCCCGCTAGTCAGCAGCCTGTGAGTCCCTGTTTATCAGCACCCTGTGAGTGCCCGTTTATCAGCACCCTGTGAGTCCCTGTGGGTCGGATCATCGTCGGTTCTACTCCCATTTATACCCTAAATCTGACTCATAAGTTGTCAGTGTGTGGTGGTGTGCATCACCATTCCCGGCTTTTCTTCCACAGAAAGTTATAATACTGTTCAAAGCGTGATCGACCCAAAGTATTTTCGACAACAGTGGAGTGTTTACAAGACAATATTTCTTGATGTGTTAGGCAACGAACAAACAGACTATATGCGAACGTTTCTATTTTATCCAGTGGAACCTTGTCTGTGACAAAGACACAATTGCGGCAACAATGACGTCAATTCAGATGGCCGGCGTCATGGCAGGTGCGTTTTTGGGAGGACAGTCAGCTGATGTCATTGGAAAGAAGAGGACCTACTACCTTGGGATCCTTTTACACGGCGTGTGCAACATTGGAGCTGCTTTCTCGGTGTCTTGGCAAATGTTTGCCACTTTCAGGTTTTTCATTGGCTTCGGGATAGGCATATTCTTCACAACTTCATATCCATATGCGATGGAGTTCGTGGGTACCAAATGGAGGTCGGTTTGTTCCTCGCTGCCTCTCTGGGCGTGTGGAGTTGGGTTGATGGCTTTGGCAAAGTGGCTGCAGCCAGACTGGCACAACCAACACCTCATCAACGCAGCTCTGCACATCCCTTTTTTCCTGGGCTGGTTGTGAGTGACACAATACACTTTGTTCTGTTTCAATAAGCATCGGGAATCATAGTGTGGCCAGCCTTCAAATGTGCTGTGATTCACGATTCATTGCATCCTTTTGGGATTCTAGTGGGTTCGAATCCCGGTTTGTCCTGCTCGTGGTACCTATGCTCGTGGGTTTCGCCAAGGCTGTGAACGTAGCCTGTAAGCACTAAAGCAGGTTTAAAAGTAACTCCTTCACTTCCTACTCTCTTTAATCTTCCAAGAGAAGGCTAAGTCGTATTTTTGGCGCCGTGATATTGCAGACGTGGTAACGTAAAACAATCGCTGACCAAATAAAATGGGAAGAGGCAATAGTGGAGTTGCTGCCCACCCGAGCGCTATATGCAAATGGCATTTGACTTGGAATGGCTTCTGTGGGATGAAGTGAACTGTTCCATTCGGGCCTACTCGATTTATTCCCATTTGGTAATGTCTGACGTGCAGTCCATTTTTGTGTAGATCTGGATGGCTCTCTTGTAAAATACGAATCATCCACAAATATCCTTCAGTTTTAGAAAAGGGTCAAGCATGCGCATGCTTTCGCTTGTGTACAGTAGGTCCGTTTCCCATAACGGTTGGGCGGTGGTGTAGCCGATTTTTAAAGCCTTGGCTCGTCACGCCGAAGACCAGGGATCGATTCCCTACATGGGAACAATGTGTGAAGCCCCGGGATCCCCGTCGTCATTTTACTGGATTATTGCTTAAAGTGGCGCTCCCACATGCGTACAATGGCAAGATACAAAGGGTGTCGCCCATTTCCACTGTCCCTTGCCGTGATACTGTTCTAATAATGCTAGTCACTATCTAACCTGCTCACATGATCACGGTTTCGTTTGAGTTTGAGTATTACTTTTGTTTAGCATCGTCCCAGAAAGCCTCCGGTGGCTGACTGTGAAGGGACGGCTTGAGGAGGCGGAGAAGGTGGTCGAGCAGATGAGTCGATACAACCGGAAGGAGAAATCTCCCAACCCCGCAGAGATGCTAAAACGGGTTGCAGAGGAGGAAAATACATTGCGGGCATCGGGCACTAAGTACACGTACCTCGACCTTTACAAGGGCTGGAGCATGTGTTGGAGGTCACTGATCATCCAGTTCATCTGGTGAGTATGGAGCCCTACTAGCAAAACCACTTCGACCTGTACCAGGGCTGGAGTTTGTGTTGGAGGTCACTGATCATCCAGTTCATCTGGTGAGTATGGAGCCCTACTAGCAAAACCACCTCGACCTGTACCAGGGCTGGAGTTTGTGTTGGAGGTCACTGATCATCCAGTTCATCAGGTGAGTATGGAGCCCTACTAGTAAAACCACCTCGACCTGACCTGGAGGTCACTGATATTCAAGTTTATCTGGAGAGTATGGAGCCCTACTAGTACACCTACCGCGGCCTTAACAGGTCAGGAAGATTATAAGTTGTTTCAGGTCACGAGGGGGTCGCGGGGTGGAAACATGGGTTGATGTACCCTCTATATTTGTTCATGTAATCTGAGCAAGAAGGGCGAGGGGAAGCACGGGTATTGGATCGTAATAAGGAGTACCGGCGTTAGACCCAAACAGCCCAAACACTACTAACACGAAGTACCAAACGAATTCCCACAGTTGGCCATTTCCAGCGGGTAACCTAGAAAATGTAACACGCTTGTAAGCGGGGTACATTGATTGGCTCAGCCAATCAGAAAACGACATTTATGTGAAAGGCAAGATAAGTCATTGTTGGTCGCTTGTCATCCATTTTATCTGGTGAGCACAGTGCCCTACCAGTACACCTACCGCGACTATAATAGGTCAGGAACATGTATTGTTGGTCGCTTGTCATCCAGTTCATCTGGTGAGCACAGGACCCCACTAGTACCCCTACCGCGACTATAATAGGTCAGGAACATGTATTGTTGGTCGCTTGTCATCCAGTTCGTTTGAAGAGTATGGAGCGGTAGATACTAAAGACCCCACGGCGTTGTAAACAAACGTTTGTATTAGAAATCTGTTGTGGACGAGCTGTGTATTGGAATGAAGAGGACGACCAATTTGTTGCAAGAACATTATAAGAATCTGTAAACGCCCCTCATATGTTCCTTGTTACTGGTGAAGGTCATCCGGACAAGGGTTGGAAATTAAGTTAGAATTCTCCCGTCAACAGTTTGAATGTTGCATGGTGTGCAGAGGTGCGTTGTCTTGGTAATGTGATTGCGACGTGTAGTGTGATGTGTGAAGTGTGATGTGAGGTGTAACGTGTGGTGTGCTGTGATGTGTGACGTGATGTAATATTTGGTATGACGTTATGTGATGTGTGGCGTAATGTGATGTGTGGTGGGACGTGGGACATGGGGTGCAATGTGTGGTGTGACGTGTGACGTGGGGTGCAATGTGGGGTGTAACGTGTGACGTGACGTGATGTGTGGTGTAATGTGTGGCGTAATGTGATGTGTGGTGGGACGTGGGACATGGGGTGCAATGTGTGGTGTGACGTGTGACGTGGGGTGCAATGTGGGGTGTGACGTGTGACGTGACGTGATGTGTGGTGGGACGTGGGACATGGGGTGCAATGTGTGGTGTGACGTGTGACGTGACGTGATGTGTGGTGGGACGTGGGACGTGGGGGGCAATGTGTGGTGTGACGTGTGACGTGACGTGATGTGTGGTGCAATCACGTCACATGTGTGACGTGTGATGTGACGTGATGTCATGTGTGGTGTGACGTGTGATGTGAGGTGTATCGTAATGTGTGACGTGTGATGTGATTGGTGGTGTGATGTGTGATGTGATGTGGGGTGCAATGTGTGACGTGGGGTGTAATGAGTAAGTGAGTGAGTGAGTTTGATTTTATGCCGCTTTTAGCAATATTCCAGCAATATCACGCCTGGGGACACCAGAAATGGGCTTCACACATTGAACTGGGGTGTAATATGTGACGTGGGGTGCAATGTGTGACGTGTGATGTGATGTGTGGTGTAATGTGTGATGTGTGATGTGATGTGTGGTGTAATGTGTGACGTGGGGTGTAATGTATGCCGTGTGATGTGTGGTATAATGTGTGACGTGTGATGTGATGTGTGGTGTAATATGTGACGTGAGGTGTAATGTGTTACGCGTGGCGTGATGTTATGTGTGACGTGTGATGTGATATGTGTTGTAATGTGTGACGTGTGATGTGTGATTTGATGTGTGGTGTAATGTGTGTCGTGATGAGTGGTGTAGTGTGTGACGTGGGGTGTAATGTGTGACGTGTGACGTGATGCTATTTTTGACGTGTGATGTGATGTGTGGTGTAATGTTTGACGTGGGGTGTAATGTGTGACGTGTGATATAATGTGTGACGTGTGATGTGATGTGTGATATAATGTGTGACGTGTGACGTGATGTGTGGTGCAATGTGTGACGCGTGACGTGTGATGTGTGATGTGATGTATGGTGTAATGTGTGATGTGTGGTGTAATGTGTTACGTGTGATGTGATGTGTTGTATAATGTATGACGTGGATGTAATGTGTGACGTCTGATGTAATGTGTGGTGTAGCATGTGACGTGGTGTGTAATGTGTGACGTGTGATGTGATGTGTGGTGTAATGTGTGACGTGTTATTTGTGGTGTAATGTTTGACGTGGGGTGTGATGTGTGGTGTAATATGTGGCGTGGGGTGTGATGTGTGGTGTAATGTGTGACGTGTGATGTGATGTGTGGTGTAATGTGTGACGTGTTATTTGTGGTGTAATGTTTGACGTGGGGTGTAATGTGTGACGTGTGATGTGATGTGTAGTGTAATATGTGACGCGTGGTGTAATGTGTGACGTGTGATGTGATGTGTTGTATAATGTGTGACGTGTGATGTGATGTGTGGTGTAATGTGTGACGTGTTATTTGTGGTGTAATGTTTGACGTGGGGTGTAATGTGTGACGTGTGATGTGATGTGTTGTGTAATATGTGACGTGGGGTGTAATGTGTGACGTGTGATGTGATGTGTTGTATAATGTGTGACGTGTGATGTGATGTTTGGTGTAATGTGTGACGTGTTATTTGTGGTGTAATGTTTGACGTGGGGTGTAATGTGTGACGTGGGGTGTAATGTGTGACGTGTGATTTGATGTGTGGTGTAATGTGTGACGTGGGGTGTAATGTGTGGTGTAATATGTGACGTGGGGTGTAATGTGTGACGTGTGATGTGACGTGTGATGTGATGTGTGACGTGTGATGTGATGTGTGGTGTAATGTGTGATGTGTGGTGTAATGTGTGACGTGTGATGTGATGTGTTGTGTAATGTGTGATGTGTGGTGTAATGTGTGATCTGTGGTGTAATGTGTGACATGTGATGTGATGTGTGGTGTAATGTGTGATGTGTGGTGTAATTAGTGACCTGTGATGTGATGTGGTGTAATATGTGACGTGGTGTGTGACGTGGGATGTGATGTGTGACGTGTGATGTGATGTGTGGTGTAATGTTTGACGTTTTGTGTAATTTGTGACGTGTGATGTAATGTGTGACATGGGTGTAATGTGTGACGTTTGATGTGATGTGATGTGTGGTGTGGTGTTACGTGTGACGTGGGGTGTAATGTGTGATGTGTGATGTGTGGTGTAATGTGATGCGATGTGATGTGATGAAGTTTAAAGTTACGTCTCTGTCCTTGAATGAACTGCTGCACATGAGACCCAGTGATCTCATTCCCCATATCGCAGACCTATCAGATGGCCATCGACAAGTTATGTCCAAACATGGGATGGCATGTCTCCCCATACCATAACGCTGTCAACACCAAACTGTCGACGTAGAACAACGCATACCGTTCACCTCGCCGTCTGACCTGCCAGATGAAATCTCGACTCGTCAGTAAACAAAAGCCATCCCAATCTTGTTTCCTGTACCGTAGATATGATCCGGTGCGGGAGAGTTACGTTGTATTGTGGCAGTGTGTTGGAGCAGTGTAGTAGTTTGGTGCAGTCATTTCGGTATACGTACCATTACGAACATGGAACATGGTGGCATTTGGGGTCTGGTATTAGTTCGTGATAAAATGTATGCGGTAACATTGACACAGACAGTACTGATGCAGGGCTCCAGATAATTTTTCAACATCACGAGTACGTACTCCTGAATGTTTCAATATAGGACTACTGGAAAAACTTCAGAGTGGAATTTAATGGAGTATCAGTAATTTTGTGTTTCGTTTCATATATGCAACACAACATTTCTACTCTTGTGTAAACAGGTCAATAAACAATAAAACAATACTTTTTCAGATAAATACGCATGTAAAATATTTTAAGACCGTACACCATTGCCGTGGTGCGTATCTGCTACGTTTTCTAAAAAATATAAAAAAAATTAAAAGAAACCCTGCTCATAATTATTTCCCTGTGTTGGATAGCCCCTCACATTCTGATACGTTTTTTTCAGGGCTTGCATGTCGCTTGTGTACTACGGTCTATCATTTGGAGTCGGTTCTCTGTCAGGAAGCCCCTACCTCAACATCTTCCTTATGTCCATTGTCGAGGTACCAGGCACCATGCTGACGTTCGTCCTAGCTAACAAGTAGGTACCTTGTTATATGACACATACTATTATACATGCTCACATCCGTTGGAGCAAGAAAAAGCTGAGTCGGCAGATTGAGAAACAAATCGTATGGTTTGACAAACTAACACAAGCATTTCACAAAAGTCAATAAGTGATATGTAATTGAAGGCTGACTGACTGAGTTGGATTTTACGCCGTTTTTAGTAAGGGGACCAGAAATTGGCTTCACACGTTGTCCCGATGTGGGGAATGGAAGCCGGGCCTTCGGCGTGACGAGCGAACGCTTTAACCACTAGGCTACCCCACCGCCCCTATAACTGTAGAACAATAACAGGGACATAGTTGTATGCATAACTCGTTAAGACAAACATTCGTTTATACAAACACTTGTTAATCCGAACATTTGTTAATCCGTCAGATCCGTCCATATCGCAAGTTGACAATCATTGGATTGTCTGGTCGAACTCGATTGTTTACAAAAAACATCATACAGCTGTATTACTGTTGAAACAAATACATACGCATGACACAGTCAGAATTGTACAATCGACTCAGCTTTTAGCAGAGATGTCTAATGGATGCGGAGAGGGTTTTGTCGCTTTTATTTGTAAATGCATAATGCTATATAGTAGTCAAAATTAATGAATGAATAAGTCAGCGATGACACCAGGTATTGGCGAAAAAGCGTAAGCATGTCTTGAACTGTTCCGTCACTCAGATTCAGATATTTTGACATGGCTGGAATTATGTCAAGAGGTACTCTCATTTCACTGACGTGCCATCTCTATTCCCAGAATTGGAAGGAAGTTGACAAGCATCCTATATTTTGGGATCGCTTCAATTGCTGCATTTGCTGTACCCGTGGTGTGGACATATGGTGGGATATCATTAACCACTCAATCAAATGTTTACTCGTTTATGGAGAAAGAATAAAATAAAAGAAGGGATTGGACAAAGTAAAAACCGTTAGAGTGTTATTACCCAAACCGGCGCAGGGCTACCGGATAAAGGCCTATCAGCGTATGTACGGATAAAAAATATGCACGATACGATAAATAATAATTTAGGAAACGTCGCAGATACGCATCACAACAATGGTGTACGGTCTTAGAATTATTTACAGACGTATTTATCTGAAAAAAGTATTGTTTTATTGTTTATTGACCTGTTTACACAGGACTAGCAATGTTGTGTTGCATATATGAAACGAAATACAAAATTACTGATACTCCATTGCCAGTTGGTACACAGTCAGGTTGGGGGTAAAATAGATATTGTTGCACTCTACGAAACTGACAATCAGAGTGCATTTGCCTGTCCGAGAGCGGGTATCACCTGAAACTGGAGGGTTGTAATCCGTGGTATTCAGGGGTAGCGTTGATAATGTTTCTCAGAAACATCGTCTCCAAATGGGCTCAAATGCAGCTCAAGGGATAAAACCATTCTCATGTATATATTTTACATGCGCTTCTGTATTTATACTCCAGATCGAATACTGCTCCATAGTTCCTGGGAGGTGGCGGTGGTGGTGGTGGTAGTGATGGCATATTATAACGGTCACTTGGACCAGAAGTAGGGTCTGCCCCCCAACACACACACACACACACACACACACACACACACTACCTGATGTTGATAAATATACTGTACTGTATCAACAGATTACATCAAAATGTATTCATTGTATTCACGTATTTTGATGTTAAGTCAGGGTCGTCTTCTTGGAATAGAACATCAAGCAAACCAGTTTTTGTTATTGAAAAAGCCGAAAACATACACAAATTTGATGCTCGTTCAATAAAAATGCAGAAGACCAACAAGATAAATGTTGAAACGATTTAACAGCAATATATACATAATATGGTTTAATGTTTCTGTCAGATCACATAAGCTTAGGCTGTCTCATGATTGCCTGATGCAGTCACGTACTCCAGTATAGCCCTTTGAATTGAACGGTATAGGATGTTGGGGCCCAATATTGCAGCAAGGGAAAATGTATAACTTTTCTCAAGCAGGGTACTTCTAAGATTTTGTCTGATGCAAACATAACGGGTACACTCCAATAGATAGTGTTGAACTATTTCAGGCGTTAAGTATCACTACAATGCTTCTTTATCAACTACACTTGTGAAGGCGTTTAATGCAGACTGGCCAACTTCGTCTCTTACGAAGAGGATTTACACAATACAGGTCCCGTTTCAAAATGTTATCGTAGCGCTCCGACTGTGATACCTTCTATACTGTAACATAGACTTTCGACAGTCGTACGCAGCGCTACGATAGCTCTCCGAAACGGGAGCCCAGATAAGACAGAGCCGGTACAAATGTCGACCAGCAGATCCAGCGTCGCGCTAGTGTCGCCATCTCTTGGAGACCGACTTTCCAATGGCACATTCAAAATCTCTTTGGGAAAAATCTAAATTGAAAGTTATCAACCTCATCCTTTAGCATCCTGACCTAGCAACATTATCTGCTGTTTCATTAGTACATACAACATCACAGAGGATAAGATGCAAGCTTAAACAGGAGATAACAGTCAGTTATCTCCCTTGTTTTGGGGAGATGTTTACTTCACTGCTAATATCACCTAAATGACAAAAGACAAATTCTGAATCAGAATTTGACGTTTTACTGATGCAGTCTTAAATTACCTTTTCAATGTATATTACAAACCCCATTCTCCAATCACAACAAATCTCTGCTAAATGCAGATTACGCTGTACGACTTTTAATCAAGAGCATGTGTTATGAATCACTTTGAGGTAGTTACGATTCCAGGTATTCGCTTAAAGGTGACTGTGCCCTGCTCCTTCGATGCCAGCACACACAAACACATGCACAGGCAAGTCAACTGTTCCCTGAAAAGACATGGAAACATATGTAATAATAAGAAATTGCATCGGACATCGTGATGCGACAAATTTGAAAATAACCTCCACCATGTCTACCATTTTTAACGTTTGAACTTTCATTGCATGTATTGCCTTCAATTGATGAAAACGGTGGCAAGAGCATTAAGTGTATGAATGAATCAAGTATCTCAAATATTTCTAAACAATCACATATTATGACACAGACATGTTATGGCTAACAACTTCTTATTTTTCTTTTTAAAGACGGTTTAAGTTACGTCTTGCCCCTTCATCAGATGAATACTGAGTAAAAGTATTCCCTAAAAGATTTAAAACAAAACGATCGCCACTTTATATACGCCGAACATATTTCGATACATGGCACATTTCTAATCACATATCTCTGGCATCACATCACATATCATACAAATTACTTAAGTGTCACAATATGAGATGCTCTCATGCGCTCTATTTCTCTAATAGATCTTGAGTTCATGGACAAGTTTTCTATTCTTCCTTCTTCGAGGTCTGTACCACTTCGTTAAACTGTGATTTCGTATTTTAAGAATCCTACTTTTCAAGACGCCCAACAGTTTGTAGATATCGGGACGTCTACTGCCATTCCGCCACATGGGGGACCAACACTGTACTTCCACGCCTGGCGTGGCCTTCACCCTTCTACCCGGTGACGTATATTTAGTTTGTTTGTTAAACTCCTCGGTCAGCAATATTCCAGCTATCTGTTTTGTTTTTCAATAAGGAAAATATCAACTGATTCTAAGTTATTTTTGTATTTGCCGTGTCATTGGTACTTAACGGGACGGGGTTGATATTTCACAAACTAGAAAAAAGGGTGATGGATTCTTTTTAGGAATCTCATTTCCTTATTACTCTTTCCGTTCTATGAAATAAATGCATTAACACCAGAAACGTGTCGAATTATTATTGTGCCAAGTAATAATTATAAATGTTTTCCATTGCCGTTTGAACCAAAATAAATAGAATTTGTAAACTCCTTTTCGTCATATTCATTCGCTGACGAAAAAGTACCTCGGATTATTCAAAAACTGCTCTAGTTTTGCAGAATAACAAACGGTAACAACACCGATTCTGTGTGACATGAGTATCTCTGGTTTGATATCACTAATATTCAGCATTCGATTCAAACCGTGCACTCACCTGAAACACCGGCGGAAAAAGTGCCATTTCCGGTTACCTAATTTGCATACTTATGTCATTGGTGTAGAAAATACGTCATTAGGCCACGAACATATGTTAAATAGTAGTTAAATGCTAAATTGTATATATTACTTGCAAAAATGTACTTGCCATTACACGCAGGTCGGAAACCTTTAGTGAGTGAGTTTAGTTTTACACCGCACTCAGCAATGTTTGAGCTATATGGCGGCGGTCTGTAAGTGATCAACAGCATGAGCATCGATCTGCGCAATTGGGAACCGAGGACATGTGTCAACCAAGTCAGCGAGCCTGACCATCCGATCCCGCTAGTCGCCTCTTACGACAAGCATGGGTTACTGAAGATCAATATTCTAACCCGGACCTTCACGGGTCCTACACCCAGTATAGTGTAATAAAGTACAGTTATGAATGATCTTTTCTAACGTTACAGTACCAGGACGGTATTTCTTTTCTACGGTGCCAAATTAAATGCTTTCCAACGATTAATTTAAGACAGAAAAGGAATAGAAAACAATGATCAGTACAGGAGACTGGCTAGTCGTGTGGCATTTCATGAATACATGGTGGGGCAGTGGACAGCAAACAAACAAACGTGCGTTATCTTCAAACGTCGGAAAACGCACGTAAGATTCCCAAAGCAAGACCTGAAGATCATCAAAGAATATGCTGATTTGGAAACGTGAGGCGTTGTGTTTGTTTCTTGTTTAATGCCGCACTCAGCAATATTCCAGCTATATGTGGCGGTGTGTAAATAATCGAGTCTGGACCAGACAATCCAGTGACCAACAACATGAACATCGATCTACGCAATTGGGAACCGATGACATGTGTCAACCAAGTCAGTGAGTCTGACCACAGGATCCCGTTAGTCGCCTCTTACGACAAGCATGGGTTACTGAAGATCAGTTCTAACCCGGATCTTCACGGGTTAGTTCCTTTGTTGAGACAAACGCATGTATGTGTATTTGTGTGCATTATTAAAAACGTCAAATTAGGAAACACAATTCTGTTAGCTATGTTCTTTGCCATGTCATAGTGTGTGAGTGAGTGAATGAGTGAGTGAGTGAATGAGTTTAGTTTTACGCAGCGCTCTCAATATCAGTTATATGGCAGCGGCCTGTAAATAATCGAGTCTGGACCAGACAATCCAGTCACCAGCAGTGTCATAATGACCATATATATTTTTCATGATTTTCTAATACAATCACGTAATGCGATAACCGGAGTTGCCGCGAATGACTCGATCTGCATTTAGCACCCCTAAAGCGTCATAAAATTTGTTGTTTCACCTTTTACTTAAATGTAAAAGACAACCAATGCTGTCATTTCAGTCTGTTTGTTGGTTTTTTGATCTACACAGTTGGGATACGATGGCATGTGTCAACCACGCCAGCGAACCTGACCATCCGATTCCGTTTGCCATCACTACCACCACCACCGCCGCCACCTCCCAGGAACTATGGAGCAGTAATCGATCTGGAGTATAAACATAAGAGGCGCACCTAAAATATATACATGGGAATGGTTATATCCCTTGAGCTGCATTTGAGTCCATTTGGAGACGATGTTTCTGAGAAACATTATCAACGCTACCCTTGAATACCACGGATTACAACCCTCCAGTTTCAGGTGGTACCCGCTCTCGGACATGCGACCAAATGAACTCTGATTATCAGTTTCGTAGAGTGCAACAATATCTATTTGACCTCTCTCGGAGACATTCATTTAAGAAGCTACCTCCCAAGATGCTAGTTGTCCACTATCAACCGGCCAGGGAACTATGTCCAGTACTCAGTCACTATTAAAACACGAAAGGCCTAAAACCATTTCACACTATCCGACCATGTGCCAGAATTTCACTTAGTCTAAAACTGTACGTTTACTTTTATATGTTATGTTTGATGCTTCTAAGAGAGTGTCTCCTCTACAATCACTTGGGTAGATGGTGCATGTGGGAATCGACAGACATGGGGATCAGGTGGTTGATCTGTCACATGTCTCTTGCCTGTATTAGTGCCTGTTACCTGTCTGGATATGTGTTACCTGTTACCTGAATGTGTGTTACCTTTCTTTTATCAGTGTATCTGTGTACCTGTATGTCACCTGGTAGGTGTTTTATTTCCCAGTCTGTGTGTGCCATCTGTCCGACTGTGTGCTACCTGTGTGCTACCTGTGTGCTACCTGTGTGCCCTTGGTTTTGTGTGCTGCATCTCCGATACTGTGTTATCTGGTTGGGTGTTTTATACGAGTCTCTCTGTGTGTTACCTTACCTGATGTGGCATCTACATGGGTGAATGTTACCTGTCTGTGTGTTACCTTACCTGATGTGGCATCTACATGGGTGAATGTCACCTGTCTGTGTGTTACCTTACCTGATGTGGCATCTACATGGGTGAATGTTACCTGTCTGTGTGTTACCTTACCTGATGTGGTATCAGAATGGGTGAATGTTACCTGTCTGTGTGTTACCTTACCTGATGTGGCATCTACATGGGTGAATGTTACCTGTCTGTGTGTTACCTTA